TCTACAAGGCGTCCGCAGTTAAAGGAATGTACTACATACGTTGTCATTCACGCAACAACTAAAAAACAAGATTTCACTTGTCACGAGGACGCAGCAAAGCGCTCGTGCAGTATACGCATTCGAGCGCTTCTGCATTACTCGGTGATGTTCGTTCGCTCGTTATGCTATTATGACTAGACACACGGCACCACTTTTTCATATCTTCGTTAAAGCAACTCATCCTTACTGTGTCGAGATAAAGTTACGCCCGCATATATTGAATCGTGATGATCTGTAGCCATTGAAACAACGGTACCCAATTGGGTACCTAGGGACCGAGGAGGTTAAGTTACCTTTCGAAGAGATGCCACCCTAACGAAGGCGTTGTGGCGCAAACAGAGCGAGAAGAAAGAAGGAGGAGGGGAGGACGAGAGAAGACAGGATGGGGGGTGTAGTACTCTCCATAAGTTTCGAAACCACGTACAGTTCAGTACATCCCTAGAAGGAACACCTAAAGCTGATGAAGCCGTCTCGTGTTGAAGATGCCTTGAAATGTTCGGGGTTTACTTCAGAATTCGCTATATCGTGACAGATGTCAGCCTGCGGGGATGACCTATACGCGCAATAAAAAGCGTCAGATTAGCGTATTCACCTTCACCCGTAACAAACTGATATTCGTGGACACCACACTGTGTCTTGCATGCCGTTTCACGAAGTCGGTAAAAAAAAAAAGTAAATTAAGGTGTTCTACGTGCCAAAACCACGAGATGATAGGCACGCCGTATTACGAGGTGGTGGGTCTTCGGATTATATTGAACTGCACAGAGAAATCTTACGTGCATCTAAATTAAGTACGCGTTTTCTTTTTGCACTCTGACCGATATCGACATGTAGCCGCCATGACCGAGAGTCCAACCCGCGCCCTCGAGCTTACACACACAGTGCAACACGTCCTCACGCACGCTAAACCACCAATGCGAATCATCAGCACATGCCAGGGTTATATGTTAAGTACCGTGGAGCTATGTTGAGATTGGCGCCTGCTGTGCTGCGTTTCTCGAGATATGTGAATGTTTATTTTGGGAATTTAGTGTTCACAAAAGCATGTATGCGATCTCGGCCAATGTAGAGTTAAGATGAACGCGGGTGCTTTCCGATAAAATATACACAGCAAACTGAAATCCCTGCTAGTTATGCTCCACCGGAAACCCCTCCTCGGAGGACGGTGTTCAAGCGACGTATCTGATGCCTGATGTATGGACATTCTTGGTGCAAAAGAGAAGCATAAGCGTTCATCATCTAAACCTAAACGCTAAACGTCGCGCCGCAGGAAATTGAAACAATGAATCAGTTTAGATCGACACACTGTACTATGATGATTGTGATGTCGTTGGTATCCCTATCATAAACTTCAGGGTCAAAGTCTCATTTCTAAATTTCGTGCCGAATACCTCCACGCGTGACGTCACGCATTTGAAAGTTTTGGTGACATGGGCTCGAAAAGATTCTTCGAACTCGGAATGTTAAATATACAGCCTCCTCAGAGAGCAATGAAGTGGGTCCCAGAATACGTCAAAATCAGTGACGTCACGGCATTCAGTGCGACAATCTCAAGGTGGCGTCGCCACAAGCGCTTTCGCGCTTAACAAGTTTCTCCTCGCTTAGAAATCGTGGTGAATCTGGAACTTATGAAGGGGTGATTAAAAATACGGGGAAAATCTTTTTTTTTTCGGTAGCGCTCCTTTAAGATAAAAATTTAGACAGGTTGGTAAAAGACTGCGAAAGAAAAAAAACTACAAGGTTAGAGCTATATGTCCCGAACGCTTTGCGTCATTGGAAAACCATTGAGAGGAAGAAAGTACATACAACGCAAACAAACAAAAATAAAACTATTTCCGACATACACAGCTGTGGCTTACGTCATGAAGGAGCGTGACGTAGGGGCGCACTAGGGATTTTTGTGGCAAATGAGGGCCACACGTTCGCAGCCGCAAGTTTTGCAAGGAAGCAAGTTTTCAAGGCAAAGCACGCGGGTATCTCAAGGACGTGCCATTGAACCGAAGCAGAGGACGTCGGTAATTATGGTAGCAAAGTTTTCCGTTTTCAACAACACTGGATACGTTTTGTTCACGCTTATCGCGTGGTCTTTGTGGAACTCCAAACGACGCTCGAGAAATTGAACATATTTTAGGACAGAGCACGACTGCGCGGACACAGGAAAAGAAGGAACAAGCCGCAGGGCCAAATGGTCCAGCTTTCAGTACTCCTACTCGAGAAATACCTGTGCAAATTTTGCACACCTTTGGTGCTCGCTTGGTTTCGGATAGGCGCGACAGCTAAACCGCGGTACACATCATGAAGTCAGCAATACAAATAGCTGCGGTCTCTACCGAAGCCCGGGTGCGATCTAGTAAGCATGTTGGCATGTAAAGGTACGTCGCATGCTGCCGGTGCCGACACAGCAGGTATTTAAAGTGCGCAAATGACTCTGATACAGGAATACGACGATTAATAACTGTTAGGTTAGTTGCTGCAAATGCCGAATAGCTCCACAGACGAAGCACATGTTAGACTGTTTATCTGTGCTAAATTAAAAAAAAAAAAAGGTTAGTTGACCCTTGATTGTTCAAAGAAAGACAAAGAGAGAGATCGTTTCTATCAGCAGTCAAAGTGTGCTGTTCTAACTCAATAAAACAAAAAAAAAACAAGATATAGTGACGATTAAACGAGCCAGTGGTTTAGCATGGAACTTCAGTAACGCAAACGAATCAGGAGCACTGTGAAACGTCGACGCGCAGAATATAACAGAACAGTTTAATGGTCGGAATCCCCAAACCACGATAAAATTACGAGGGCTCAAGAAATTTCGACTAACTGGGGTTTCTTACGTGAAAAATTCATACCGTCTTCCCAAAGGGGACCCTGATGGGGTGCGAGGCAGCAGCGTGCACCTAATCGGGGCCTCAAGTGCTTCACGTCTTTATGGCTAATGCAGCTGCCACGGCCGGGATTCGATCTCGCGACCTTCTGGTGCCTCGCCAGTTTCGGTTCTAAATCGCACGCATTGCAATCGAAAGAACGTCACGAAGGAGGCGTGCCTTCGCCGGTATATTTTCGGCTGCTTATAGAGCGATCGCTGAAGAAATATCATCGATTAGCTAGTGTCCAGCATCGCGAAACGCTGGCACCAAATACTGTCGCGAGTCATTAAAAAAACAAAAAAAACAGCGGTACTCGTGTGTATGTGTGTGTGACGCACGCCGGTCTGGACGACCGGCGTGCGATCGAACACAGCAGCGGTTGTGGAACAACGCCTTGGTGCAGTGCCGCCCGCGACTGCAGGAAATCTGCGGCGTCCGTTGCCGACCCCTGATCGAAGCTTCCTTTCTCGACGCGTCGCCGCTGCATAGTCTATCACTGCAGAAACAGGCTCGACTACGTTACCGGTCGAGTTTCGCATTACGGTCTACGTGCGTAGGTGGCGAGATGCGCCCTGTCCGCGGCGGCACCGGTTAGCTTCCACGAACGGGAAACGAGCGTTGGACACGGCGAGCGTACTGCGAGCTGTGAACGACGAATTCGGCAATGTGTCCGCAAAGTTAAATCCCGCAGCGTTATTTTAATTTGATCGATTGATCGACAACACACGCGACAAGCAGGTTAATCACGCCACCGCTAAAATCTCGCGCGCCACACACACATGCGCGTACCGAAACACGGGTGCACTGCGTGTAGCGTAGCCAGCGATCGCGAAGTCCTTCGGGCAGAGAACGAAATTCGCGCACTTACGTTGCTTTTCGGCCACTCATTTTTTTGGGGGGGTTCGCCGGAGGAAAGGGTTGGTTGCGATGTGCTGACTCGGTGAAGGGGGAAAACACACTGGCCGCTGCTCTTTTCACCCTGTCGCGACAGGAAGTTTTCGTTTTATAACTTGCCGACAGGACGTGACGTAAACGAGAAATTACGAGAAGGTGCGCATGCGCGTTGGTTTTCTCAAACCGAAACTGAAACTGTTGTTCGAACTGCTTCGCTCGCCAGCCAGCTACCTGCCTTGTCAACAGTGCATTTACATTCCGTTGCTAACGCTTTGTTAACCTTCCTTGCATAAACTTTCTCCTCACGCGCGACACCTGCCATAAAATGAACACATTTGGCATTGTCTTCCGTGATGTAGCGTTTTTTTTTTTTTTTTTGCGTTGCACATTGTGAAAAATTTCGGCAAACTGAATTGTATTTCATTCGTTCTTTCAACGGTTTAAAATAAAAATTGTACACCAAGGAAAGTCGTTTTACGACTAAGAGCATTTAGTGTGGAACGTCAGGCGTACAAAACAAGAGAAAACTATTGCTACGCCTGCATTTGCATTAACTCGTTAACCCTTACTACCACCATTCTATTCACAAGTTGAAACTGTGGATGGTACTAGAGTACTGGTAAGCTTTGTTATAAACCGTGTTGATCTCGCGTCGTGGACGAAGTCAGTCTACGCTGCCAGCTATGTCGCAGGTTGCTAATCGCACACAAATGCGAAAACCGCGAAACCAGAGCAGACAAAATAAATTTCAAAGAAATCCCTTTCCGAGACCGAAACAAATACAGCTAACAGTCACATACAGGAGATTACGTCGCTTACCATGCCTACACCACCATCTTAAATGCTACTGGGGAAAATATATTCACCACCTTCTATGAATGTTACTAATTATAGAGCACCATTTAATGTGAAACTCATTACACCCACTTAAAAGTATTTATCAAGCAAAAAAATTGGGCAAGCTCGTACGGCTTCGACTTGAGAGATGAACGCGAAAGCGAGACTAACATTCAACATAAAGTACGACGAAGCAATTGTACAACTTTTTCTGCTCCAGATTCCATCGCGTTCATGCACTCTTCTAAAACTAAAGCATTACTGATGGCAAGCTACGCACAAACCATGCCGAAATTGGCCTGTAAACACTCATTTGAAGCCGGTTTGCCACCCACAACGGTTGCAGACAAATAGAGAACAACAACGCAGTTCATAGAAATGATTTTTATTTTTGACGACTATACACGACAGAATGGCCACTACAGGTACCAAACCAAAAATTTTTTTGCACAAGAAACACCATGCACACCTATGGGAGGCTCATATCTAAGCTGGTACAACAAAGAAAGTTGCAATGAAATCATGATCAAAATTTCGATAGAACCAGTATGGTGAAATAAAATCTGGGCATTTTTACAAGCTTATGAAAGAATACTTTCATTGCAAACTTTTATTGGCAACGTTGCTCGAAATCTCAGCAGTAGCAACGTCGCCTGAAAGAGATAAAAATGCTCGAAATCTTTCAGTGGCCTACGTTGAGCTGTTTTAAAAGCAAATTAACTTAAGCCCCTAATTTTTATCGATCATTCTCTCCCAATGTGCACTCGCAAGACGGGAGATATGAACAAATGGCATGACCAATAAACCGTACAGTAACATTTCAACAGCTGGGCAAGTTTTCTTTAGGCAGTCTACATGCCTGCTGGTCGCTATAACAATTGAAGATGATCACTGCGACTGCCTTAAAAATTGTATTCATCATTACAAAAGTAGACCATACCCTTTTTGAACATGACAGTGTCTTTTCTTATGTTACAAAAATACATAAAAGAACAAAAACAGCTGGTCACGCCCGACGACTTTCCATAGGAAACAGGGCACAGAAAAAATGTGAAGAAGAGAAAGGGGGAAAAATATGGTAATACCGGTGTGCTTTTACGGCAGCCAACAAGACGCAAAATAAAGATAGAAGGACTTGCACGAGGAAAATGACTGGCAAGCGAGGACAACGAGAAGCATTTCTTGCATCGTAAATGAGGCAATGAATAGACAACCCCCGAATCCATCCCCTCCCTTCCCGGCGATATAAAAATACTCCTCGTCGATCTTTGACACGACCGCAGTTTGCGTCCGTGCCTATGTCGCGATACCTCCCCCCCCCCCCCCAGACCCCGCACACCCCACACCACGGCAGACTTTTTTTTGCTTATTAAAAGAGAGAGAGAAAAGCAACCGACAGGACCACGAGCAGCAGTAGTAGCAATAGAAAACCATTTTGAAACAAAAAACTAATGAATCACAATGACATGATTCGTACCTCCTCCTTCCCAAAAAATGACACTTTTATAAAGATGCAACATCAGTTTGTCACAGTTCTTCCATTTTCTTGTTGGAGAGAAGAAAGAAATGGGAAGGGGGCGCTGTGCAAGAGAGCAAAAATAAAACAACAACAATGAGAGGCAGCCAATGTAAAGATGCACCAAATGCTGGAAAGTTGAAGAGAAGCTCTCAGTCGTCAAAGGAGGCTCGCTTTAATTCCTGTTGTCCAAACTGTACAAGGCCCTTTCGCTTGTTGCTCACTTCTCTGCAACACAGAAGACAGAGGAAAGAAACAACGCAACGTTAGACTCGCCAGAGACCCAATCACACACTTTCGTTTCTTGAATAACGGCATTCTCTTCTTTAACCCTTTAGCAACCGAAAGAAGACAAAGAAAAGCTATAAAAAATGACTGAATTTTTTTTTTCGCTCCCTTTGAAGAGCCTCTTCTTCTAGATAATACGGTACCATTATTTCAACGCGAACACTATTTCTTTATTTTTCCGATTGTGTGCAAGGATACTGCATGAGAGGTAGCAGAGGTGGCACAGAAAGGCGCGACAGGAAAAGGAGGAAAAATAAACTGTACTAAAAAACATGGACAAGTGGCACCATCTTGCATAAAAAAAAAAAACGCAACGGACCGATACAGTCATCATCGATTCTGTGTGGGACCAATTTTTTTTTGCCAACAAGTACAGTCATTGGTACTACAGTCGGACCCCTCTAAAACAAAACTGACGGGGCATGAAAAATATTTCATTGAAGCGAAAATTTCATTGCAGTGAAATAAAAAGATATATAGCAGACTTGAGCTAGCAAAAGAAAGGAACTTGTATTCTCAAAATTCAGAAAGTGTCAGCTGCTTCCTTTTCTTTCCCAGCAGCGTCACGAGATTCTCACCTATGCATGGCGACACCCCAAGTGAAGTACACTGAAACAATAGCCATAACTGGTTTCGTGAACGAACCTAAAAGTCGCTCTAACACAGTAAAACCCTGCAGCTGTCCACCGTGAAAGCTGCAGCCGACAATGCCAACATAGAGGGGTGGTATCGTGGAGCGGCTGTTTTTGCCTTATTCCTGTGCTATTCTATCATCCACCACTCGCACCTGGCAGATTTTTTTTATAATGCGGACAAACAGCTGATTAGTGACCCCATTGGCCAACCGCAAAAAGAACCAAAAGCATTGCATCAGGAAAAGGCATCGTTCCGTGATTGCACTGAGCAGCCATGCGAAGGAAACCATGAACCGAGCTTCAGCTTCAGATTGTCTACAGCTCAAAAGCATATTAGCGGCAAAAGCTGGGCAGTCTCATTGCTATCGCTATCGAGCAGCCCCCATGCTTGGTAAACAGCGGCAGTTCCTGGTGGTGCCAATGCACATTTTAAACTTTGTCGACATATTTTCATGTTCTGAAGATGCATTCAAGTGTTCAAGATTGTGTTTTCTGTATGGCATTAAATACCTGAACTTGGAATTGCATCTTCAAATTTAGTTGAAGCGGAACAGCTTAAGAAAAAGTGATTGTTGTGGTGGGAATATTCATGCATTGACTGCAATGGGGTGCTGACCAGGAAACGAGAATTTTTCGTCGGAGCGGAAATTTTGTCGTAGTGATGTTCGACTGTATGTTGTTAAAGGACGTCATGACTACTATACTCATCAACGGTTGGTAAAGGGTTAACTGCAACAAAACATAAGACCTGGCCTGCTTTTCAAATCTAACCAACCTCAGAAAAAAGAAAGTAAATCAGAACAGTACGATTGTGCTCATTTTGTTAGCCTTGATAAGTGCAACGGGACAAAACTTGCCATTACTAACATACGAAGCAGACAGAAAATGAAGCAAAAGAAAGCACAGAAGAAATTAACCAATCATTTGAACTGAAATGCAAGCACGCTGCCCTCAACTTTGGCAGCTATGATGATGCCATGTTGATGCTATAATTACCATGATGTTTATACCATACCAGCACTTATCGGCCATTTGCGCCATGCCGGCTCAGGCTGCAAGGCCTCGCCTGGCATACACATTCGCAAAATGTCCGACAAAGCCGAGTGGGTGACAGCTGCCGTCATGGCTCAATTAGGTATGGCATCACATATGCAATGTAACGTAAGAGACTCGGGTACGGCTTCCAACTACCCCAAGCTGTCCTTTATTCAGTTATTTTCCTTTCCCATTGCTTCTACAAATTTCAACTACCATATTTACTCGCTTAATCCTCGCACAATTCTCGCACCCTCCACATCGCCCAACAAAAATACGACTTCTTTTTTTCCTCGCGTAATTATCGCACCCCCAAAAACTGCCACAATAATGTGATCTGCTCGTTACAGCCACTGATGATAATAGCGCGCGTCATCTGGCGCCATATCTTAAGCATCAATCGTACTATTACTGCACGGAGATTCAATCCAATCCAAGCCAAACCAAAGTGGCAAGCGCGCGTTGCGGCGTGTTTTGTATGTTGTGTTGGTAATCTTGTCACGTTATGGGGCGATACTGAAGCTACACGGCTGCTTTCAAGTTAAAAGTGATAGATCATGCACTAAACAACGACAACAGGGCCGCCGGTAGGCCCTACGAGTTTTGTGTTCGCTACTGGTGACGGCAGCTGAAAGCCACCAAGGTGCATTGGGCCTGCCGTGTGCCTAAAACTGGGATTGATCGTAAACTATTTCTTCAGAAGGAAACTGCGGACGATTCTATCAAATAGCCATCAGGCCAATACTGACGCCCTACGCTTACCTTTTGAGGGCTCCTGTTGCGCGACGAATGCTACCGCTATGGCTGCAACACTCACAAGCTTTGCGTATGGTATTCTAATTCTCGACTATTTGCTTGCACTATTAGTGTCCCAAATAAATCTTGCCTTGTGTTGAACCAGTGCTTTTAATGTTGAGGTAAGTTTTAATTAGTACTTCTCAAAGCTTGCTTTTTTGCGGTCCCTTCGTTTTCTTTTTTGCAGTGTACGTTTTTGTGAAAAGTTTTCCCCGCGTAATTCTCTCACCCCCCAACTTTGCATCGGTTTTCTGCCAAAAAAAAAAGTGCGAGGAATATGCGAGTAAATACGGTAAAACTATTGCTCAAATAAATTTGTGCTTACTCCAGCTTCATCGTGCGTTTTCTTCGCATGGATGTATGTAGAGGGCGGGGGCTTGCTTGGGATTCTACGATAATAAAAACTAGCCAATGTGCTTGCAGGACAAGAGGAAGAAGCAAAGCGTTCTCTTACATTCTCGATTAGCCGTGGACACGACTAGTATTGACCCCTGAATGGGTGAGGGAAATTGCCTGCCATCAACGATGCAGCTGCCCCACTAGGAAATCCTGTGGAAAGAGAAAAAGCCAGCATTAGTGGACACTGAAAACATCCGCAAGGTCAAAGACTTGTTTCTCAGACACTAATTTTTGACATTCCGAAACTAAAAAGTTTCTGCCGCGCAGTGAGGCTCCCTTCACGATGAATGCAAGGTTTGCGAGGGCACTTTCAAAGTATGTTCATCTTCGTAAAATGCACCGTTCCCATCTAAACAACGTGCTTTTTTTTTATGCATAATGAAGAAAGCTTACAGCTTACGATTTGTGGCAAGATCAAGGACTTTGACGGCTACATGCTTAACCGTTTGAAAGACTGCACCGCTGGTTTCAACTCAAAATCAACACATCAATCACTAACTGCTACTACTTGCACTCTAAAGACTTGCTACTACTTGCACTCTAAAAGACTAACTGAAAAATAGCATCTAAAGGCAACAAACCAGGAAACATGTGCACTGCTCAATCGAGGCAAAAACTTGTTTTCGAGTGCCGAATCGACTTCGGATTACGCTTCAGCACATCGCACCTCACACCTTGACCCATAGACAGCAACAGGCTCTCGATTCACTAAGCACCTAAATCTTTCCCGAATTGGCCTTCTTCACAATTAAGCTTGTGGGAGATGTGTAACTGCAAGCTATAGCCAATGCTTGCATCATGATGGAAGAAGGTCTGAAGATTTCGGCTGTAAATGCTGTCATCGGCCTTAAATTAGTGCATTGTGAAGCACTATGTACTTATTACGAAGGTTCAACGGCACTTTTCTGTCAAACGAAAGTTCGTAGGTTTGATTCCCTTGTGCAGTGTTCTCATTATGATGCGGGGCAAAATGCACTGCAAAATACCGGTGCACAAGATTCCGCGCACATTACGAACACCCAGGCGGTCAAAATTTATCCGAGGCTCTGATGGCCCCCCTCGTCACTGTGCTCTTGCATTAAAGTTCACAATAAAGTCAAGCAGGTTCTTGAATGATATTCTGAATGCAGCCACTGCAGCAGCCAAGGATCAAACCTACAAAGCTCTGCACACAGCATGAAAATGCGGTAGCCAGGGAGGAAAGAGAAAGAACTTAGAAGAGAGCACAACAAAAGGCAGTCAGAATTCACAATGTTAGCCTCCTTTAGTAGTGTTTACTCCTTGCTTTTTGCTTGTCAGAATATCCACACTATGTACCTAATCTTGAAAAGTGCATGCTTTATCAGCTTATGGCAGGTTTAAAGGGACACTAAAGTAAAACAATGGATTTGTGATGATTCATAAGATGTACTCTGAGGACTGAAATGTTCATTTCACCACCAGTTTACTAACAAAGGCAGAAAATCGAGGTCAAAGTTCCCCTTTTAAATTGAAAGCTGAAATCACACGCGAAATGACAGATTTCGAAGCGCATTTATAATGTTCTGGCAAAATGGGCTCCATTAAGTTTCCTGAAACTTGGTACGTTAAGTCTATGGACACCGCTCAGGAGGTCAATTTTTATCAGCAGTAACTAGGTATGCTCAAGCAGACGCCATCCAAAATCTATACTGTCGTTTGGTGCGGAAGCTCCAAGCACCGGCGAGGTGTTTGGAAATGCGAGTGGTGTCACCACCTGCATTTCCATTCTGTGCATTTTATTGCTCACCAATGTCTTTTCCTTCATTAATTATAAAGGTGCGATGTATCCAATAATAGATAAATTATTTTTCTCTTTACTGTCCTTTTAAACCAATGGCCTCTTGAGTAGTCTTAATTTTTTACAGTACGTACCACTTGAATTCTCCTCACTGTATTTCTTTAGTTGCCAGCTTCAATGCCTGCATATCATTGCTGTTCCTCGAAAAGTGTACGCAAAGTTGGCCAGACTTGCACTTTCCCCAAAGTGGCACAGTGTAGGCAACAAATTGCAGCGAGCGAAGGTGCCAAGCTTGCTATCATTTGCTTGGGTGCTTTCACCCTCTCAGATTCTTCAGTAGTTTTCGAAACTAGGCTTTCATACTGTCACTAAGGTGCTCCCTTATCAGTTTTCATTTTCTTCCACAATCATCGCCTCAACCGAGCCAACTGGACAAAGACAGCAGCTTCATTTTTTCAGATCCAGAGATGCATCGTGAAGGGAGCCCCATGGTGCACGCCCATACTGAAACGTCCGGAACAATACCTCGCAGCAGTTGAGAGATTCTGTTGGAGTCATCACACCTCTCCTGCTGCACTCCCTCCAACATGTATCTGATGCCTTTGAAAGAATGCATCAAGTTCCGGTTTCAGCATCGCGAGCAACACAAACAAAAACCAATGCACGCAAAATGGACTATGCTCTATACACCAACAATAATGAGCACTTCTTGTGAAGAACATTCAGCACAAGGAAAACCTGTACAACTCTCACATGTGGCTATCAACCGCTTTTTTAAAGCCTAACTGCAACTGAATTTTAGACAACACTCAATTTCAACCACAGAAAAAAAATGTCGGAACAACATACATAGGCTACCAACCGCTTTTCTTAATGCCTAAATGCAACTGAATTTTAGACTACACTCAAGTTCAACCACAGAAAAAAATGTCGGCATGACATACATAAACGCAGCCTTGGCTTGCTTTTCACCTGCCGAAGTCGGTCGTGCTAGTTGGTTTCCACTCAAACTTCAAGTGCTTCCCTCTCTGCTAATGTAATACTGCGCATATTAGGGGGTGAAGGTTCGTCGTTACTACCTAAAATATTAGGTTTGGCTGAACAGCGATATGAGAATTCCCGAAGAAATTCACATCATGTTTCCCGTCTGAAACCGGCGACGCTACATTTGTAGGAGGAAGTCGGACCTTTTGAAACACTCGAGCAATGCTTCATAATGTCACAGACGGAAACGGGTAGGCACTACCACATGGAGCTTTTATTAAAGTTCTCCATGGAAGGAACCCAGCGATGTCTGTGGGAGGAGCCAATACTTTGTCCAAGCTGTAAGCGAATATAGTTTCCTGGAGGACACACTATTTTCACAAGATGCAAAAATGGCTAGCTTCGTAGAGCGTAGAAAGAGAGGAACCTCTGCGCAAAGTTCAACAAAGAACACGAGCAAGAAGAGGCATAAAAACTACAAAGAAAAACAAATGTCTCCAGGATAAGGGGAGCTCATTTCCCTTCTGAAATACTACATGAATGTTTGTGCAGTGGAGGTCAACACTTCTGACCTCAATCCTGGGCTTCACTGCTTCGCACAATACTGACCAGTCTATGGCAACGTTGAACAGCACACCCCAAGGCCAACCGCCTCATATACAAGTGCAAGCTACCGTATACTGCAGATTTTAAATTAACGATTTTTTTCATAAAACGGGCATCCAAAATTTGGGGTTCAACGTATAATCGGTGTCAACCTATTTGCGTAATCGTAAAATCAACTTCGAATCACTAAGCTGAGCGGTCCGACAAACGGTGGTCGTTTTCGAGTTCACTGCTATTCGACGCATCGACAACATCAGCCGCAGAGGCAATGGAGTCTCAAGAACAGCCATCTCTCAAGGCGCACACACTGCTTCCGGAGCCAGAAATTTTTACGATCTGCTGTGATGATCGTGAAACTATGGTATAGCTATGGTGGCCAGAGATGAATGTGCCAGCAAAGGCACGTCGGAGGTGAGCATTCTTTTATGACGTGGCACTGACAGCATCACGGTTTCAATAATAGCACCACCGCATCGGCCCATCTGTCGGGCGAGATTTATATCGCGAGAAACGCGACACGAGTTTGTCCCTAGCTAACAATGCGACATACATTTATCTGCTGCGAAAAACTCGACATGCATCTCTTGCTCGCAAATAACTTAATGTTTATCGTTCGCGAAAGACGTTACATGAGTTTCTCGCTTTAGTGTACAGCGTGTCCTAACAGCGCTTGCCGACTAGGCAATTCAAAAATTCAGATTTCCCGTGAAGCACCATGGACATTCGATGGAAAAGACAATTTTTTTTTTAATTTTTTCAGTAATCTTGACCAACTTGCACAGGATTATGCAGTCTTTTTCTGCTGATTTCAAATATTTAATTAGTTTTCCTGTTACTCATCTTGTTCCTGAGATAATTTAAGTTCAACCCCTATTGTTTAAGGCCACCATGGAAAAAAGTGCTTAATTAAAAGTGATATTTAAGATATGCCAACATAGACTAATGGCTATAGATTGAAAGTGTGCAAGAGTTTTCTTTTTGTTATGTTTTTAGGCCTTTCTTGGTTATTTTACAGCAAAATCAACTATGCATTTTCAAAAGCAGTTGTAATCGTGTTACAATTTTGATAACCAATTATTTAAGGAGGCTTGTGCTATAAATTCTGCTCCAATATTTGCATTCTACACACATACAGTCGAGCCCACATATAACGGCCCCACTTAAAATGAACTTTCGCTTAAAACGAACAATATCCGCAAGACCGTAAAAATATACATTGTTTCAATGGCAGAAAATCGCACTTACAACGAACGTCTCTGAGCACTGCTCATCAGTTACAGCGAACGAAGTCAGCGGTCCGCCGACTTCCCCGGAAACCAATTTCGACCACCGATCAGCCATCGGCGAGGTGCACATACATTCTTATTGTTAAATGCCTACCCTGCCTCCGCCCCCCTCTAGTTGCCGCTCTCCCCGACCGCTTTTTGTTACGCACCCCTCCGTCCTTCGTCCCCCTGCTACTCTGAGCACCCCGCATCGACAGACGAGGCCCGTGTTTTCACACTGTCACCGATCTTTCGAAGACCGGTCAGTTATCTACCGTGTTTATGATCACTGGTACTGTCGGCGTCGCCGGCCTGGAGTGACCAGACCATTCGCCATCATCGTCGACAACAGACTGTATCCGATAGTCTGCGTCTAGTGCACATGCGTACGCTACCCCACCGACTCTGATAATTTGCGATTCGTTTCGTGTTTAGGACTTATTCTCGCTCACTTCGCACTCAGCTCAGCATGCCTTCTGCGCGCGTGCGGAAGGCAAAAATGGCTGTTGATTTGCGCGGAACGAATCGCGAAATATCGAAGTTAGTGAGGCTACGCAAGCCCGCCGGCACAACGAACCGATTTTTTGACTAGATTCAGGCGGCCATGCACTCTTTCCAAGTTTTTCTACGTGCGAGTTGCGCGGACCCTTAAGCAAGCTACCCAACCTGCCTCTTTCCCGCGTGTTTTGGTTTTCAAGGTCGTCCTCCCACCACATCCTCCCCTCTCTTTATCGCAACTCCTTGCCCTTCTCTCGCAAGTCTGCTCACCTCTCTTGATCACAACCCCTTCGCCCGTCTCCACCTCTCCGCGACGCCCGTCACGCTGGCTCGAATTAGTTTCACTTTCTGACTGGAAATGGGCCCAGTGCTGTTCCACGCGCTCTGGCATGTGTGTTGCGTGTGCGCGTCTTGCTCGCTCTTGGTGTGCGCGTGTGGCCATGATGGCCGATGGGAGGACTAGCACGCTTTTTCGTGCCGCTCAACGAAACGTCAAAAGTGTGACCACTTGGCTTGAGCGTAATACGCGCGTTAGGTGCCGCGTTGCGGAGGGCTTGCTCATAGCTGTTGACCACCTGGCAGCCAACTTGCCGCTTTGGGCGTTCCGGTATTCAGCTGTGGAGACGGTGAATATTTCGTCGGCGGTGGTGACGGCTACATGCGCACAAAACTGTTTTCGCGAGGCCGACTTCGTCGACAACGGGCCCGATGCCGAGCCTGAAGCTTCCCAACTGCGGCGGCAATTTGTGGCAGCGCGTCGTCGACTCCGACCTGGGAGAGAGGGTGGGACATCTGTTGCGATGGTGTAATTACCGTATATACCGGAATATAAGTAGAGATATTTTCAATAAAATTATAAACGAAAGTCGCGCCTCGTCTTATAAAGAAGTGTTTAGCCGAAAGTGCGCCGCTGTCTGGCAACATGTGGCTTGCATGTGCTTGAGAAGCCGGACGCGGCCATATCCACATCCAAATCCAATCGCAGGCTGTTTTTTTTCTCTCTCAGTGCTGCTCAGTGCTGCTTTGGTGTATCAGAAAAAAGCGTGCGCTATTGGAGGGTGCAGAAAGGGAAGCTGCAGATGTGCAATCCTCGAAAAATGTCGTTTCGTGGACGAAGTGCCGTTCATCCACAGCTGGAGGATAAGCTAGCGGACTTTGTGCGGGTAGTTCATGCGCGCTCGCTGCCAGTGACCGTGGATACCATTCGCAAGAAAGCTGTGGAACTCGCTCGAGAAGCTGGGCTCACGAGAGAAGAGTTTCGTGCGCCAAACTCTTGGGTGCATCGATTTATGCGACGCAAAGGATTTTTTCTTCGGCGGCGCACATCCGTCTGTCAAAAGTTGCCAGAGGAGTTCGAGGACAAGCTCATAAACTTTCAGCGCTTCATGAACCGGCTTCAGGAGCAAAACGATTACATGATGGGGCAGATTGGCAACGTCGATGAGACCCCCGCTTCGTTTGACATACCTTTGTCGACCACGATCACGCAGCGCGGCGCCAAGGATGTGAAGCTGTTGTCCACTGGCAACAAGCACTCGCGCTTCACCGTCATGCTGGCATGCACGGGAGATGGCAAAAAGGTTCCGCCCTTCATCATTTTCAAACGGAAGACAATGCCGGAGGAAGTGTTCCCCCCCGGTGTTGTCGTTCGCATCAACAAAAAAGGGACAAATGGACGAGGCCATGATGCTCGAATAGATAAGAGTGGCGTGGAACCGTCGGCCAGGCGCACTGCTGCGTTTTCGCAACATGCTGGTGATGGATGCGTTTCGTGGCCACTTAACCGATGCAGTGAAACGCGCACTTGGCGACGGGAAAACGGACCTCACCGTGATACCAGGTGGTATGACGTCCACCCTCCAGCCGCTCGACGTGCTAAACAAGCCGTTCAAGGACAGAATGCGGCTGGAATACTAAGAGTGAATTTCCGGCTACAACCCCAAGACACCGACGGGCTGCCTACAGAGGCCTCCACTTGCGACTGTTTGTGGCTGGGTGTTTTCCGCCTGGCGTTTCTTGCCAGATTCCATGGTGGAAAATGCTTTCAAGAAATGTTGCATCAACAACTCACTGGATGGCACTGAAGACGACGCACTGTGGGAGGTGGCCAGCGACAAACTCTCGTCTTCAGAAGACAGTGGTGCTTCGTCGAACGAATAGGAGCAGTTGCGATGGTGGTTGAGGGCTGCTCAAACGATCGGGGTGCGGTGCGCCCAATTCGCAAATATATGTGGTTTGGCAGTTTTGGGTTGTTATCCTTTTTTTTCTTTTTCGGTAACCTGAACTTGGGTGGTCGACCTATATTCCCACCCGACCTATAGTCCGGTTTATACGGTACTGCCGATGGTGATGCCGACACTGCGGACCCGTGCACGGATTGGGGCATTGTGAATGAAGTACGTGGCAAGAGCGATTTGGAGGAATCGGATTGCTAGAACGATGAGACTTTGGAGCCAGTGCCCCATGCAGCTTATGCCACGAGCCTCGGCGAACGAGCACCCTGCCGTTTTAAATGAACTCGAGACCGCCCTTATCGTTTCTGCTATTCGAAACACATGCATTACAGCCATTTTGGGGCATAAAATGTTTGTGTTTTCTTTAGCAACTTTTTTTATTCAAGTTGTGTTTCATTTACTACGAACTTCGGATACAGCGGACGGATGCCGCGTCACGCTCAGGTTCGTTATAAGTGGGCTCGACTGTACAGGTTTCCGTTGCAAAAAGAATTATTGTTGTACGAGCCCTAGCTGCAGAGATATTTAGGTCTCAAAATTTAACAGTCGTAAATTTATTTTTTGACAAAAATGGAAAAAACTGAAAACACGCAGCTTCTTTAAAAAGCAACAATCATGGTGCACATGTTTTACAATCCTCATAAAAATGCTCATAAATTTGTAGCAGAGGTTCTAACACAGGTGTTGGCAAATTATAAAGAAGCCTCGAAGTCTCTTCCCCATTTTTTTCCAGGTTCCGCATGTTAACAGTACCAATAATCTGGACAGTTAGAATGGCATTACGAAAAAATTACCATTTGCAGAGAGACAGAAAAATACCGTATTTACCCGCGTAATGAAGCGCTCGCATAATAAACGCACCCCCAGCTTCAGTCATCAAAATTTGAATCCCCCCCCCCCCCCCTGCGGCATAATAAACGCACCCGCTACATTCATCTGTTACAGTCACATTAAGGACACCTGGCATCTCCTCAACCTCACCCATTGGATCTCTTCCATTTCTTATTACTTTGCTGACCCCCATCAACCACCCAAGCTCGCTCCCTCCCTCCCCCCTTTTGCCCTTTGCCGCCTGCTTATTGCTTTTCTTTCTAGCTGTGCCTGGGTGTGCAGCACTTCCCCCCTTCTTATCTGTGCCCCACAGGGGGGTTCAAGAGCAGTGCAAGTGTAGAGACATGGCAGCTGATAAGCACATAGGGAAGGTCACCAAAGGACCTGTGCCAACTTCCTGTGAACCCCCCCCCCCCCTTCTTTTTTTAGCCTACTTCCTTTTTTTTTCTTCACTCAAACTATCCCTTGTTCCCCTGTGAGTGCACTCTTTTGGGCGGCCCTCCAGATCACAAGCAGATACCACTGTTGTTGTTAAACCATTGGGAGAAACGATAAAAAGATAGTCGCAAAGCCTTTTTGTGGCTTCGGAGGAGTGTATGCCTATGCAAATTGCGAAATGCTAAGCGACCTAACTTTTTTTTTTTAATTACCACATTTTTTTCCTTCTCTTAAAAAGTTTTTATAAAATTTACTTCACCTAATAAACGCACCGCCCAACAATGCTCAGATTTTTCAAGAAAAAAAAGTGCGTTCATTACGCAAGTAATTACGGTACTTGCAGAAACCAAATATGTCAATTTAAAGAAAAATGAATTTTTTTGTCACTTTTTGGTCCCAAAGACCAGTCTGCCCCCTTGAAACCGCGAATCAGACATTAAAATGAACAATTCCAGTTCAATATTTATTCTCTTTACCAAAAAGAAAATCAAAACAACAAAATATAAAAATATCAATGATATGCAATGAAGTGAGTGCATCTGAAAAATCGGTCTCTTGGGTATCGGTTGCATCAATCCCACTACGCAAGGTCAGTGGAGGGCCAGCCAGGGTTACCCTCTTTGTCGTAACCCTAACAGTCCCAACAAACGAGCAATGTTCAGGAAAGAGGAACACTATTTGTCATTCCACACAAAGGTTCACGAAGGACAGCAGTATGAGAAAAAGAAGGTGAACTAAGGACGTTTGGTCCACATGTGCAGGTGCGAACCCCCACAACTCGCATGTTTCCCCCAGTGACATGCAAAGATACCAGTGACCAATGTAGGGAGGCAAGAATGTCAATTGGCAGCACCAGCTAAAGAAAGTGCCAATTTCCAGAGCAAGCTAAACAAAGTCAGTCAAAGCGGCACAATGAAAAAAGTGCGATCACCGGTGCATGCGTGCACCACTTCACATGCTGAAACACGAGCACGGGAAGCATAAGGAGGATATTACTGTGATCAGACAAAAATGACCCCACAAGCAAGCGTTGGGTGTCGTCACGCGCTTCAACGTCGCATTTAGGGCTGAACGAGCAAGCCACAGCCAACGCGAGGGTTGTAAAGACATGATCCAACCAACACCGAGCAAGCACACTTCACAAAACACTCAAGTTTCAAAACAAAGTGCTCGTCTTGGCTCAACCAGGCAGGACAGAATGTCGCACCTGATCAAGCCCAAGGCAGTTTTCAACTGGTCAATCTTATGGCTTGTCCGGCTGCGCTACAAGTTTTGTTTAACGCCTTGTTTTTCAAAGCTGTCAAACACCTTCATCTGACACCATTACGGCTTCGGTGTCTGGTAATGAAACTGGGACAATGGCGACGTTCACGAGATCAGCGCAGAAAGCCTGCACTTTTCTTTTATGCACGCTGATTCGTGTCAAAAGGGCGATTTCTCCAGCGTGCAACTGATCAGGAGGAATCAACAAGAAATTGCAATTTTGTGAGAAATGAGTGACTTTCTGTAGCAACTGCGTGAATTGGGTCTTCATAAGCAATATCACAGTGCTAAACCAATGAGCAGGCTATGAAGGCTATAAACGAGATTAAGAACTACACCCATTCTTCTAACTATTATCCAATTCAGTATTTCACTACCAATCCATTACTGCAGTATGCATTCACTGCAACATTCCCAACAACAGCACCACCAAGATTGCTGTAAATTGACCAATCGAAAAAGTTGCGTGTCACGCGCATGTGGAAGCCACGAGGTGGCTTGTAGCAAGGTGGCTCAGTCTAGTGGCAACAGCAGACCGGCAGGCATAATGTTACTTCTTACAAGTGTCATTTAGAGACAGGATAGAAACATGATAGATAAAGGCGCAGGCACTGAACAAAAAGCCAGAGTCAGCTGCGAAGAAATAAAAAATCCAAAGAATTCCACAGGCTATGCAAGTTCTTGCGATGCGCTTGGGCATGTGTATATCATTACAAAATCTCCATTGAAGAATACAGAAGGCGGGCATGCAAGCAACCCATTTCAGGAAGCACAAAAGTAGCAGGGGTGGGTGTGTGTGTGGGGGGGGGGGCAGTAAAACCAAACATACGGCACACTTCACAAAAAGTGTGAAGGAGTCTGGGTTAGTTCCATAGTTCGACGGTTAGCGCGGTAATAGACAGGGCAGCAGAAATGAGGGAGCGCTCAGTCATTGTAAGTAGGGAAGATTTGCAGGCCAAGATTGCGAGTACAGAAAGTGCAAATGGTTATTGTGACTGACATTGAGGAAACAAGGCACAGGCCATGGGGGTCACTACTGAGAAGCACACTCATGACTGCTCAGTGATGAGAAAAGCAGCAGGTGGTGTTTGCAGCAGACCGACAAAGAGGAAGCGGGCAGACAGGCACAGTCACTGCCTGGCAGATGAAGGCAAGGACGAGGAAGAGGGGAAGTACGGGCTGCTGTTGCCGCCAGCGACAGGCGAGGCAGTCTGACCTGAGGCCTGGGCGAGGGCCGACTGGCTCGAGTAAGCGGCCGCGGCCGCCACTGCGGCGGCCGCAGCCGCGGCGGCGGAGGAGGGTCCGGCAGCTCCTGGTGGTGGTGGTGGGGGCGCGCCAGCTGCAGCGGCGGCGGCCTGTTGGGGCATCACGGTGGTGTGGGGTCCCATGGCGGCTGCCAGGGGCGCCGCCTGCCCTGACGGCTGGCCCGCCAGCCGCGACAAGATGCTTCGCTCGGACATCTGCAGCCGCTGGGCTACCGGCGGTATGCGGGCCAGCGTGGCGGGCAGCCGGCTCACATCCGACTTCATGTCGCTCAGCAGCTCCTCCAGCTGGTTCAGCACTGGTAATGGAAAACGAAAATGTTTATTGATTGCATTTTTCTTGGCACCGTGGCAAAATACGTGAGACACCAGACACATGGTACAAGTTGAATATGGTATGTGAAATGTGTACATTGCATAATTGTAGTAAGGCCAGAACTTGGCCATTCCATGATTGCCTAAAGTATAGTATATGCAATACACTCATACAAAGTTGCATTTTACATGAAAATACCTTCATTATATCTGAAAACTCGTTATAAAGGTATATTCCTAACAATACAGCTATCGCAAGGACTATTCTTATTTCCCTTCGTTATATCCAAGTTCTTTATATGAAGTTTGAGCTAGAAAAGTAAAATTGGCAAATCTAATGCATAATGTACATTTCAATGTTTCACAAGCTGGGAACAGCTCTTCTCACAAGCTGGGAACACAAGCTGCGAACACATCTAGTTGCTGTCATGGTCGTTCGTAAATATTGCTCTAAATTGATCATTTCACTCTAGTTTCTGCCAAAGCACAATGCTGTGTCAACTAATTATGGTACCGAAGCTTTCACTTGGGCTTTTATGAAAAATCTCGATGGCACAAGCTCTGTTCAGTAAAAACAAAGAAAAGCAGAAACAGGTTTGGTGTCTCACCCTTATGGAGGACAGCATTTGCCGGCTTGTTCCCTGCAAGGGACTCTTTCGACAAGTGCTGGTGCGATTCCGCAAGGCACTCGAGCTCCGCAAACCTGGGCACAAAAGCAACATGCTCAAAAGCAGGCCACAGCAACACAAACTAATATATATAGAGTCAAGCATGCTTCAAGACATGTGCCTATTATTGGATTGGTTAATTAGGTATACTCAAACCTCTATATAACGAATCCAGATATTGTAAATATTAGTTATAACAAAGTGAATGAATAATATTCTTACAATTTAGCGTCAGAAATATGCCTTCATAAAGAATTTTTAGATATACCAACTCACTTTCGTGTGAGATGCAATTGCGTTACAATGAGGTTTAAATGTACATCGAAGTCCCACCTCAGCAAACTCGGGGTCTGGTGACCCATTTCACCAGCAAGATGATGCTTATAATAACCTTCCCTACTTTACCACAATCATTATAATTATCTCTATGTCCACAACAAGGTGAAGTGAGCGACAATTATAGTATATTTTTGCAACAGCTGCCAATCGATTACTGCCGAGTCTAAGCTAAAAGCAACCTTGAGAGGAACACAGAGGCCAACTCAATAATTCTTCATGATAAAACAAGTTACGCTTGCAAAAATCAATGCAAGAGAAGTGATCTAGGCAACACACATGCGAAACGTGTTGTCTTGATCTTGGAGTCCATGATTGCACGCCTACCTTCTTTTGCAGTGAACCCCACCCAACTAGCTACACTTTCCGATCTGAGCAATCATTTCTTACCTCAATGAAAGGAAGTGAACTGGAGGGTTGTTTCAACACAGATTTCTGGACCTTCATTTCATATATGTTTCATATATGCTTCCAATAAACCATCATGTTTTGCTTTCTTGCATTGTGCTTTCTTTTGACCTTGACTTTCACCCATACATGAGTGGTTGCTGTTTCAACCACGAACCGCCCGTGGCTAATGAATTTTCGCTGAACGCCAAACTAGTTTACCACCATCGGCTCTCATAATAATATTTGCTGGGGGCTTTATGCAAAGCAACACAATATGTTTATAAGAAATTTCTCAGTGGAGGGCTCAAAAAAGTTTTCACCACCTGTGGTTCTTCAACAAGCACCTAAATCTGAAGCATGCAAGTGTGCAGCACCTCTCCTCCATCGAAGCATCGCAATCATGGCCAAGATTCCATTTCGTAACAGGCCTTCAGATAAACGGTTGAGCACCATAACCCCTACTGGACTACCATGGCGGGTGTTTCAACCAGAACTAAAAACCTTACGCCAGTAGGTTTTCCGTTTCAACCATTAACCACTCACGACTAATTTTTCTTGAACACTGAGCCAAGTCTACAACCATCATCTCCACCTCACCTGGTATTGAGCGCCATGGCCGGATGGTTGGGGTCCTGCGTCAGGTTGAGGTAGGCCGCACGGCGCAGCTGCTCCTCAATCACCAGGGCCTGCTCCAGCAGCTTGAACCTCCTGGCCAGGAACTTGTTCTTTATCTCGAGAAAGTTTCCCTTGCCCACGTCCATCTTGAAGGGCTCGTTGATGATGCTGAAGGCCACGTCATTCTGGATGTCCTGCCAGCGGCCATAGCCGTGCTTCACGATGCCCGCCAGCAGCCAGTAGTCGTGCCGCCGGTGCCAGATCTCATACTCGCGGCCCGGCACGGCCGCTCGTTCCTCATTCTGCCACAGCGTGTGCAGCTCCGTGAAGCCGCCGTCAGCAATGTTGAACATGAACTTGCGCTTGGTCAGCGGCACAATGGGCTTCGGTGTCACTGCCGCGCTCGGAGCAGGCGTCGCAGCCCCACTGCGCTCGCCGCCACTGCTACTGCCGTCCGCGGACTTTTTGTCGTCGGTGGCAGCGGGCTTCTTCTCGTCTTCAGCCGGCTTGGAAGCCTGCTTCCCACTCTCGCTTTCCTCCGCTTTGGACGTGCTGGCGACGGCCTCTGGCACGCTCTCTTCCACAAGCTCCTTCTTTACCGCTGTGCAGAAACAATTCGCTCCAACCATTATTTTACTCATTACCTTGCCACTGGTCTGGCACTAATCCCATGCAATATCTGAAAACCAAGCCGATTCAAAATGCCTGCATTCACTAACATACTCCAGGGCCACCCAAAACGGCATCCAACACTTGCTCTCCTACTTAGTGGGAAAACTATTCTTTGCATGTAGTTTCTCGCTGCTTAAATCAGCAATATATCCTTCCCAATTTCTAGGCCTCCTAGAACAGAAAGGTACACAAGACCATTCAGTGTCTGCTAAGCCCAAGAATTTCACACTACACGAAGTACGGAACGCTGGTGATGGGATCCTGTTAGGCTACCAGCACCAGAACACCAAGCTGCAAAACCCGTAACTCACAGACTTCCTTGTCATCCTTGGCTGACGATGGTGCCGCTTCCTCTTCTTTCTTGGCCTCGCCTTCTACCTTGCTGTCTTGCGACTTGGACTCTGATGCCTCAGGATCTGGCTTTGCATCGCTCGAAGAGGATGGCAGCTCCTTGCTGGCAGCTTCCTTGGCCTTGTCGCCATCCTCGGTTGATGCCGTGGGTGTTGAAGCCTGTAAGGTAGACAAGCAACCTTGAAACTTTGACAGACTCAGTCTAAACGAAGAAATCTCTCATATTTCCATCATTCAATAACTCAAGCGACAACATTGTGTAAAACGTGGAAGCCTTTTATGAAGATAATTTATTATTTCCCAGAAGCCAATCATAGTCAAGCTGATCTCTCTGACTGAATGTTTGTACAAATGTGTGAAATTTACATGTACACCTTCTGGAAGTGTTAAACTAAATTATGGTCTATTTTACAGTAATTATTGGGACTGCAGTGAAAATAACTATAATTGTTGTACAGTAGCCATCTTATATTTTTGCGCAAACTGAATTCAATGACGCACCCAAATTAAGCGTGATAGTTATCTGCTGGCAGCAAGCATTCCCACATATTACACCATCTTTCCGAAGAGGACCATGGGGTGATGCGGGGCATCACGGTTGTGCAGCGCGAGCACTCCGTTTTTCAATCGAGAAACTTGCTAGCAGACACTGCCTGTGTTGGCTCTGCCAGATGCCACGGGGAGGAATGCTTAGAGGAGAGTGGGAGGGAGCGTAGGTTAATAGGCCTTGTCCCAGTCTACGTCAGCGTTGCGAGGCAAAATAGGGGGAGCGTAGGAGAGGACAGAGAGGGAAGGGGGCGCCCATACACAATGGGGCAGCGAGCGCAAGCAGGTGGTAGGACAGGAGTGAAGAGAGTAATGCACATCTGTTGGAGAGAGGGAAGGAGGAGAGTCGCCATGCGTACTGTGAGTGCGGACAATAGATGCGCGACATACCCATGAGCAAGAGATTCTCCGCATTTAAAATATGAAAGAAATATACTGAAATCACTGTCGAAACGACCCATGTCTAGCTCGACACGGTGCTGCCTTCACCGAAGCGGCCATGTAGCAAAATGTTTCAACCAGAAGCGATAAAACAGAACTTTAGACAACAAGAATGCCTAATTTATCATTAGCTCGATGTTAGCGGTCTCTTCTTTGCCAGTAGCGCACCGAAACTGCTCAAGCAAGCCACGTCTTCAAGCGTGAATGCCATGTCACCAAGGTTATACAAGCCGGACTGTTAACGAGCATTCCAACAGGGTTCATTGTTTTTGTAAAAGCAAGCCCATTCTGCAAGTAAGCTACTTTAGTCAAACACAAGCCCGGAGAAATCTAGTATTTTATTCTCCTTGTGCAAAAGGAAAAGAGAAAAAGCACGAAGTTCATGCTTTGGCAAGAGGACACATTACAGTCGAGCCCACATATAACGGCCCCACTTAAAACGAACTTCGGCTTAAAACGAACAATATCCGCGTGACCGTCAAAATATACATTGGTTCAATGACACAAAATCGCTCTTACAACGAACGTCTCCGAGCCCTGCTGATCAATTACAGCTAGTGAAGTCAGCGGTCTGCCGACATACCGGGTAACCAATTTCGACCACCCGGGCTGCCCATACATTCTTATTGTTAAACGCCGACCCTGCCTTCGCGCTTCTCTAGTTGCCGCTACCCAAACCGCTTTTTCGTACGCACCCTTCCGCCCTTTGTTCCCCCCCCCCCCTCCCGCTACCCTGGGCACCCCGCATCGCCAGACGAGGCTCGTGTTTTCACACTGCCACCGATCTTTCGAAGACCGGTCGGCCATCTACCCTGTTTTTGATCGCTGGTACTGTCGTTGTTGGCGTCGCCAGCCTGGAGTGACCAGAACATTTGCCAACATCGTCGGCCACCGACTGTATCCGATAGTCTGCATCTAGTGGGCACGCATACGCTACCCCACCGACTCTGATAATTTGCGATTAGTAGCGTTTTAGGTCTTGTTCTCGCTCACTTCGAACTCGACTGAGCATGCCTTCCGCGTGCGTGCGGAAGCGCGAAAACGGCTGTTAATTTGCGCGGAACGAATCGCGAAATGTCGAAGTTCGTGAGGCCAAGCAAACCCACCGGCGCAACGAAACGATTTTTTGACAACGGCCGCCGATTCTTCGAACACCGCCGCGCGCACCGATTCAGGAGGCCGTGCACTCTTTCCAAGTTTTTCTGCGTGTGAGTTTCGCAGACCTTTCAAGTAAGCTACACAACCTACCTTCTTCCAGTGTGTTTTGGTTTTCAAGGTCGCCTTCCCGCCGCATCCTCCCCTCTCTTTATCGCAACTCCTTGCCCTGCTCTCACAAGTCTGCTCACCTCTCTTGTTCACAACCCCTTTGCCCGTCTCCGCCGCTCCGCGACGCCCACCACGCTGGCTCGAATTAGTTTAGTTTTCTGACTGGAAACGGGCCTATAGTTGTTCCACACGCTCTGGCATGTGTGCTGCGTGTGCGCGTCTTGCTCGCTCTTGGTGTGCGTGTGTGGCCATGATGGCCGACGGGAGGACAAGCGCACTTTTTCATGCAGCTCAACAAAACGTCGCTTGGCTTGAGCGTAATACGCGCGTTAGGTGTTGCGTTGCGGAGCGCTTGCTTATAGCTGTTGACCACCTGGCAGCCAACTTGCCGCTTCGGGAATCCCTGTATTCAGCTGTGGAGATGGTGAATATTTCGTGGGCGGCAGTGATGACTACATGGGCGCGAAACTGTTTTCGCGAGGCATACTTCGTCGACGTTGGGCCCGATGCCGAGCCTGAAGCTTCCGAACTGCGGCGGTGATCTGTGGCCACGCGTCGTAGACTCCGACCTTGGAGAGCGGGTGGGACATCTGTTGCGATGGTTTAATTACAGCCGATGATGATGCCGACACTGCGAAACCATGCACGGATTGGGGCATTGTGAATTAAGTACATGGCAAGAGCGATTTGGAGGAATCAGATTGCGAGAATGACGAAACTTTGGAGCCAGTGCCTCATGCAGCTTATGCCGCGGGCCTCGGCGAACGAGCACCCTGCCGTTTTAAATGAACTCTAGACCGCCCTCATCGCTTCTACTCTTCGAAACACGTGCATCACGGACTTTTTGGGGCAGAAAAAAGTGTGTTTTCACTCGCAACTTTTTTTTAAAAGCTGCGTTTCATTTACTACGAACTTTGGGATACAGCGAACGGATGCCGCGTCACGCTCAGGTTAGTTATAAGTGGGCTCGACTGTAGAAGAGAATATTTGTACTTTTCATACTCTATTCATAGAATCTTGTGTGTGTGCACCTCTACGCCAATTGATTGATATGTGGGGTTTAACGTCCCAAAACCATCATATGATTATGAGAGACGCCGTAGTGGAGGGCTCCGGAAATTTCGACCACCAGGGGTTCTTCAACCGTGCACCCAAATCTGAGCACACAGGCCTACAGCATTTTTGCCTACCTCTGCACTAAAGCAACTACAAGCACTCGCACCAAAATTTTTCAGGTCAGGTAACTGCAGATGTACAGATGCGGGAATACGCCAAACAAAAGACGCAGCAGCCAGCAGGCACGTTCCTAAACACTAAATTCTTTTGAAGGAGGCTGGCATACACAAAAGCAAACTAGCATGCATTGCTCCGAGTTTGACTCGGTTTACGATGAACCTTCTGCTGACAGAAGGGCATACCTCAGAGCTATCCTTGTCCTTGGCTGCCCCGTCCTTGTCCTTGTTTTCATTTGTGGACGGTTTCTTGTCCTTGTCCTCGGAAGCGGCCGCTCCATCGGCAGTCGCCTCGGTGTTCTTTTTGTCTAAGCCAAGTTCCTCGGGCAAGATGCTGTAGCTACCATTGATGTGCTCGAACTCTTGTACCTAAGCATGGTGAAGGCACAAGTTTCACAGCATAGATAAAAGCATCAGCAAGTTTTCAAATGAGAGCAATGAAAAAGCAGAGAGGTGCAAAATAGGACTCATTCCAGATCAAAGGGACACAAATGTAAGATTTGAACGACATGATAAGAACTCAACTGAAATTATAACAAATACGTGGAGACATACAGACACAGTTGCCTTATTTGAAGATGACAAGCATCGCTTACTGTAGTAGATTACTTTATTGATGAGACCAATGAAACATTTAAAATGACCTCCTGCACAATGCAATGCAAGTGCAATTAAAATTCTCCGGAAGTTTCGACCACATAGGGTTTTTAACGTGCACCCAAATCTGAGCACACGGGCGTACAGCATTTTAACCTCCACCAAAAATGCAGCCACCGAAGCCGGGATTCGATACTGCGACCTGCTGGTTAGCAGCTGAGAGCCTTAGTCATCATACCACAGGGTTAAGGGGTAATACAAAGCAGGAGAAAGCTGTCACATTCATCTGCGCTATGGCGCGAGCAAGTAATATCCCTGTCCTTGTTAAGTGCATCAATTTTTTGCTCAGCAGCTCTTTTACTCCTACAAGCAAATACAAACATAATGATGTGAAGGTTACATACCTTTTTGCGGATAAGGCTCATGACTCCAATTCGTGTCAGCACATGCTGCCTGCTCAGCCCTTCCCGGGGGACGCCGTCAGCAAATGTTTCGGCGTTGTCGACGCCTGGTTCACATAAATGCCGCATGAACAGCGACACGTACGCCTTGAAGTTCTTCTCCGACTTGCCACGCAGGTCTCGCACCAGCCTGGGCAGGCGATAGATAGATATGTGGGGTTTAACGTTCGAAAACCACCATATGATTATGAGAGATGTCATAGTGGAGGACTCCGGAAATTTTGACCACCTGGGGTTCTTTAACGTGCACCCAAACCTAAGCACATGGGCCTACAGCATTTCCGCCTCTATCGAAAATGCAGCCAAGATTCGATCCCGCGACTGGGCAGGCAATGAGAGAGAGGCCAGAGCCCCACTTATAAATCATGCATGAAGGGGTAAGGCTAGGTAGCTTATCAGAATTCACAAAGCAGCACAAGACCCGTGAAGCTGGCTTTGCCGCAGCAGCCGAATTTCAAAGTCAGCCTTTCTGCAGGCATGCTGGTAGAGTGGGTGACGCGGCTCTGAGGGCACTTGCACAATGCATAAAGAAAAATTGCCAAAACTTGCTTCAGTGATGTTTCCCACACTTCCTCATATTATTTGTCACATACCATATAACAAAAACCAATAACGGAAATTCTTTCAATGTGAGATAAGACTACGTTTTGATTAGATCCAACTGTATTCATAAAACGAACTGCAGTTTTCTGTGAGATACATACTAAATTGTCGAATTCTTAAAAAGTTTTATGCCTTGTAACAAGATTCATCAAATCGTTATTTAAGTTTGCAGAGTCCAACGTGTGCATGTTCAAAAAATAGAAGTTACGGTGATAATAATAACTGCACGTTCTGATGCCCAATCGCAATGTATTCGTGTACCACTTATTATTACTGCAATGTTGCATTGTAAAGCATGTATCGAGGACACGTGTTTGTAAAGTACGCAAGTTACTTTCACTGCATTTACAAGCAGAGAAAGTTATTTTCACTGCACTTCCAAATAGACGGCGGGGCGGCTCTGTAATAGAACACCCACATGCCATGCAAACAACCTGGGTAGCCAACTTCACTCAAGCCTAGAATTTATTTATTTCACTTGCTTCTCTCTCAATTTTTCGGTCACGCACAAAATGATTTTTTGCTCACAACCAACGATGATGCCACCGCAGACATCAGAATTTGTGAGAAACGAGCTCTTTAACGCTATCGCATTACAGATCAGTGTCAACAACAAAATGTTACTTAGCAAGCCATATGAAGCACGTACAAATAGACCTATATAATTGAGATTGGAGAGCCCCAGAGGCTAGCAGATGGCAACTGTGGATGTATTAAATTGTAAAAGCTCACCATTGAGAGTTAAAAGCATCCTGGGGAGGCATGCCATATCTCATAATAGCGTTCAAGAATGCCTTCCTCTGTCGGGCATTGAACCCAAGGACCTGCAACAGAGGATTAGTTCAAACCATGGGCATAGGTAAGTCCTGAAGGTTTGTGACATTAAGAATATAGGAACTTTAGTAGTGGCACGTGAAAATGTGGAACAAACATAATATTTAGGGAAATTCGCTTGCACCATTTAAAAAAGTTTTGTTTAGCCTGAGATGCCCCTTGGCCAACGACTGTTGATTTTTTAGGCAGTTTCATCCTTTTACATCCTTTTACAGCCTTTTTACATCAAACGGCTTCACAAGCAAAGCTGCATGGAGACTATGACGACAATAAACAGCATGGCCGACGAATGCAATTTAGGGTAGAGGCATCAGACATTCGTAAATTTCGTCACAGGATGCAGAGAAACAACTCATGCATGTACCAGACCCCCTTTAGGACCACTGGGCATAACTTAGCCCGGATCCCCATAATAGCCTGGATTGTCCTGCCTTGCACAAAATGCAAAGCAGCCACGATGGTTCGTTTATGTCGTCCACACGTCAACAAATGGCAGTGCCCTTGAACTTTCGGAACAATGCCAGTCATTTCAGCATACTAACTGTGGGAGTGTGGACATGTCGGATGAGTAAGGAGTCATCATTTGCCTTCGTGCGAGAAAGTGAAACGAAAAATGTGAACACGGACTTATCTACCCAGGCCAAAGTACTGAACTAGACATTCAAGCAGCGTGAGCATGGCCATACTTTGGTCTGCATTCATTTGTCTGTGCTCCCCGACGCTCGTTTTCACTACCACTGTAGTCCTGCAACGCGGTTCGAGACTACATTTGACGTCTTGTTTGAGCATGTCTTCTCTAATGTGAGCGAGCGAACCCAAGAGAAAACTAAAGATAAAGATTTTCGCTGTGTTAATATGATGCTTACACATAAGAATAAAAACAACTTTCATGACATTATACATATTTGGCAGGCGAAATAAATACACAAAAAGGGCACGTAGCAACATCGCTTGCAAAATTTACACAACTTGATGCGATTTCATATATTTTGATGGCTCCTGCTAGGACCTACATAACTCTTCATCATTAAAAATATAAACTACATCGTCTTCCAATGAAAAATTCATTAACGGGGGTTGTGTCAAGTTAACGTTTCGATAAGCGGACTTTCTTCCTCATGGCTAGCGCAGTTCCAAATCCAGAACAAACCGTTCTAGCCTTGAGGAAGTCAAGTCCACTAAATGAAATGCCGACTATACACAACCGCCGCTGACAAATTTTTCACCGCCACCTTCTATCTTCCCCTTCCTACCGTTTTTTTTTTTTTTTTCTGCTTCTAAGGTATACAAAGACTTGATGTCAAGTTGCAGTAAATTTCAGTTCAGGTAAAGTGATCAAAAGAGGATGAAGAGTGATGCTTACCTCAATATTCCCTCCCACGCGGGCTAGCAGTGGGGGCAGAGGCCTGTCCTTCTCACTGCCGCCCCGGCTCTTTCGGTTGCGTGACTTCTCTCCCGCGCCGCCTGCTCTCCCACGCAACAAGCAGGGACAAAAAAACAAAAATGAGCAGAAGCCATCAGCCCATGCAGGACGAAATGGGACTCGGGCATTCAAACATGTCAAGAACTTCTTTGGGATGCAACAACAGACAAATAAGGAGATAAACATGCAAAGACACAAGCCACGAAGGGGAGGCAGTCAACTACTAGATGCAACATATTACTTCACAAAGCCTGGCAAGTTCACCAATAGTTGAGCCTTTTTATAAGAGACACTAATGCAAGAGTCAAATTGGTATAAGGGACACCAGTGCACCTACACTGAAATACATGATAAGGAAATGAATTCATGGTATCCTGCTTATAAAGGATACATCACATAATACACGAGAATTGATCCCTGGTGCCTGTCTTTCATAAAGGGGTTTAACTGTATTTGCGGTGGAAATGATGCTAACTTGCAAATAACACCGCATAAGTTCTTTCTATGCATGAAAAAGCATGCTGGGCTGTATTTTGATCGCACGCTTGACATGTCTATGAAAACACTGCCTGCTTATGGTAGGGTTTGGAAAAAAACGAACAGGCCGCTGTTTTTTTCAAAAGACAAATGAGCAAGAGCTCGCAGACACAGTTTGGCCTCGCACCGTTATTCCTCTACACGTAAAACAAGTTTTGCCAATGTCTGCATACATAAAAAACAGCAAGAATTGTTTAACAAACAATTTAACATAGACTCGTTACGCCAGAAACAAAATATCTGCGGCACGATTCGTCTTAGGTGGGGTAGCTATTTTCTCACTGTTTACTCTGAAGTAAGTACACACTATGTTTTGACAAATTATATCCTCTAAGTGCGAACATATGAAAAAACCTCTTTACGTACCCGTCTAATGTATTCATAAGAACATAAATTGGGACACTTTCAGGAAAATGTTTACTGAGATGCCAATGTGTTTTATTATGTTATGTTCACGTGATATCTGAAGGCAACTTAATTATATAGACCATGATTAGCGACTCCTATTTTGCACTTTGTCATGCAGACGATGACCAGATAATCCATCTGAGCAATCCTAACTTCAGCTCAGCATTGTGTCCCTCAAGTTCAAAACTTTTTCAATCAAGCAAAAAAAGCAGAAGAGACATCTATGCCCTAACAACAAGATGCACAAACGAGGAATGACGAAGGCGTTCCAACTTTATTGCAAGCCCATTTGCCACGCAAAATGCACTCTTCAAACCTCCCCATGCACCGAAATGAGAAAATTGCCACTCACCGTCGTTCTTCTCCTCAAAGTCGTCATCGTCTTCTTTGTCATCTATGAAAAGTAAGAATCAGGGTTCAACAGAACGAGCTTAAGCACACCACCAGGAGAAGTTGGCAGGCGCAGGATGCCGAAACGACAGAGGGGCACAGAGGTCCACGTCACCACCACATCTTCTTGACGGCTTGCGAACCTCCCACTTTGGGCTTCATCAATGGTGAAAAGAAAAAAACAGGGGCTACGTTCAAAGGACACTACGGTGCCGAGCTGATCATGTCTCAAGCGAAGAGACTGATCGATCTGTTAACTTTTTGGTGTAACTGCAATTTTTGCCCAATGACATGGATCCTCTGTGCCCTCTCCCGGCTCCACTGCGGGTGCCACCAGCTGCTTGCGTGTGCGTGCTGCTCCTTGAATTGCCCCTAGCAGCACTTGTGCTGAGGAGACTCGGGGGAGAGAAACACATGGTAATGAAAACAAGTCTGTTCAAATTTGTGTAGCAAATGTTTCGCTCATACCGATGTGAGTAAGCTGCAGAGTGGAACGGCAGTTAAGCTGTATCATCGCGTGAATACAGCCTGCAGTGCCTTCATAAAAAAATATTTCTAAGGCCAAGAAAATTTAGGAACGATACTGCTACGAAAATTCCAAGAAAGAATGCAAGAATCTTAATTCAATGCTGCAAAGAGCAAAGAACTGATTATTTTAGTCTTGATTCATGCTTGTGAAGCACTTATGCGAGATTCGCTTGAAACAGCAGGTGTCAGCCAATCGCATCAATGAACGTAGCAATATTGAAGGCAGCAAGAAAATTGAAAAATTGCTTTTGCAAACATGGGCTCTGCTGTTTTTGCCCAAACTGCTATGCCTCTTTGACAATGGAATGCGAAACTGTACATAAAAAGCCCAACTGAAACAAGAAAAGGTATAAAGGTAGGGCAGAGCCGAACACTGTCGGACCTGGTTTTTGATCAACCAAAGAGAGCTCTCACAAGTGAAAGGCTTAGCAAATTGAAGCAAAACTGCTAGCCAGCCTTGTCGGATCGAATTCAAGGAAGTACTTCACGCGGAACAAACGGGGACGAAGAAAGAAGACACACGGACAAGCACACTGACAAGCGCTTGTCCGTGTTCGTGTTCCACACAAACTACTTCAAGAATCAGCAAGCTCATTCCTGCCTTTCTTGCACAAACCGTGCTCTTCCACTTATGAAACATTCAACTCTGGTTGTAATCAAAACCCCCGAGACGAGGAAAATGTGACACGCACCGGATGGCACGGAGAAGTCCGAGTTGTAATCAGACAGGTTGTCCTGCCAGGTGGCATCGTCCTGAGCACCCATGGCGTCCGTGTAGTTGACCTGCTTGCGGACGCGCTTGCCCTTGCCAAGCGAGCGCGCCATGTCCTCCTGCTGCTGCTCGTAGTGGTGGCGCAGCAGCTTCTCCCAGTAGGCGGGGTCGGCCGACTCGGCCTCCTGCTTGAGCACCTCGGTCTCAGGCTCTTCCTGCTCGGCCTCCTTGGTGACGTAGGCGGCCACCTTGAACGAGCCCAGGTACTCGTTGGCCCACAGCTCCTTCTGCTCGATCCCTTCCTTGGTGCGGTCCAGCAGTTCCGCCACCGCCTTGTCGTCGTAGTGGATTGTGTCCTCGGCTGAGAAGCGACGACGGACAAAAAGTTTTAGGCCTCTCTAAGGTGGAGGATTTCAACCAAGGAGGATTTTAAGAAATTGCTGGGAAGCTCCCGCAATGCCTTGAGAGCAAAAATGAAGCCAGCTTTTACCCACAAAATATCTCGAAAACATGTTCTTTTCTTGTAGCACCCACTTAGAGAAGAAGTGTCTTTGATCTGTTAGTGTAAGTGCTTCGTTAATTATAAATTAAAAGATAGTTGTTGCTGACAGAATAACACATAAAGACGAGTATCTGTGACAATCTCCAATAAAACTTTGCCTCCAATTATAGGCTTACTAAGGAAAACTAGTAACACTAAGACGCACTCAAAGCACTCTCTGACCTGAAAAAGTTGCCACACTATAAGTCGTTGGGCATGAGAGGAAAACGCTCAGTTCCATTTGTAACTGCCGAACGCTGACAGTTTATCATGCCCCTAGTAAGATAACGGCCGCAGCCACCATCTTTTGGTGAATACGGCTTCACTCTTCGGTAATAATTTCCATTTCAGCAATTCTTGAAATACCTCCCTGGTTGACACAACTACAGACGAAAACAAGTGTGCCTTCTCCTGGCACCTTGAGAATGAGCACTATACTTCCTACCCTTAAGCTTACTTCTCAGTTTGCGTGAGAGCACGATAACTATATTAGCTGGCACTTAACAAGCCAGAACCATGTTATCATTATGAGATAAGCCATAGTGAAGGACTCCCTATCAATACTGACCACCTGGAGTTTTTCAAGATGCACCTGAACTTCAGTGCATGGTTGTATTTGTACTTTGCCATAAAATATCGCCACCATGGCCACATATGAAACCCATAGCAATAAAAAAAATGCAATGCGAACCAGATGACAAGTAACGTGAGCAAAGGTTTCTCTGTCAACGTCCCTGTAATATTCTGCATAGTAAGACCTCGACGACACGCTTGCATTTCCGGCTACTACTGTGTAATCTTAATACAACAAATCTCAAGGTATCGCTAAAAATAATTTGTTATTTTGAAAAGTCACTGTAGTGAAAGTATTAAAAATTTGCGCGAAAATTGTAAACGCAAACACGTCAGTCGCCTACCTGTGCTGTGTATGCATTCACGACCGCATTATGCTCGAATGAAACGGAGCCCCGCCGCGGTGGTCTAGTGGCTAAGGTACTCGGCTGCTGACCCGCAGGTCGCGGGTTCGATTCCCGGCTGCGGCGGCTGCATTTCCGATGGAGGCGGAAATGTTGTAGGCCCGTGTACTCAGATTTGGGTGCACGTTAAAGAACCCCAGGTGGTCAAAATTTCCGGAGCCCTCCACTACAGCGTCTCTCATAATCAAATGGTGGTTTTGGGACGTTAAACCCCACAAATCAATCAATCATCATCGAATGAAACGGAGAAAACGAACAAACACGAAATATCACGAAATCAGTGCACATTTATTTGAGAAAGAGCGCTATCTACCCTGTTGGGGCCAGCTCGACTGCTGAAAGACGAACTTTTAAGTGTGCGCATCCTTTTTACGTGCTACGAAGACTCTGCATTAAATACCGATTCTTCACGTTGGTTCGCACGCGCTGTTTCAGCGTCGTCTTCGCTCTCGTCGCCACTTCCTTATCACGACAAATGGTAGGGATCTTATCCGCCGTCAGCTAAGTTCACATGCATGCTTCATCGTTACACTGTGCATAGTGTTCGAGCGTTAGTGAAAGGGATTATGTAAGAGTGAAAGCTCAATGTATGACAACATCTAAAGCGACAACATTATCAAAAGTAAGGTAAATGCATAATACCTGCATAATGCGCTGCAGTAGGACATCCTCAAAATGATCCCGATGACATCAGGCGAACTGCCTCAAATTAATCCCTAGTAATTGATCTGGCTGCACTAAATAAAGAGCCTTCTGTGCATCAAGAGAGACAATAAAATTCTGCTTGTTCGTTTCTGTTGGATTTAACAAAAAAAAAAAAACCACCGGACGTTGCTATGGGGAATGGCACGAGTGGTTGAAAAATTCACGTGGTTCAAATTTTGACGTGGTTAAACTGAACAGGAAGTGCCATATAGCGAGGCCCAGTTGAACCAAAACAGGTCTGCCATCTCGGAGCCATTGGCAGGAAATCGATCAATGGCCATTGCTGCTGCTGTGGCTCCCGCTGCTTTCGTTCTGCTGCTACCAGTGTCGGCGACCAAGCAGTAAAACCGGGCAAGGTTGTGCACGGCAACAGTGACGCGAGATGGTCCGTTTCTTGAGGCAGGTAAACCGAAGTGCGCTAACCCAATGAGGACCACTGAAACTTGATTTCGTTTCAAAATAAGCCCTTCCTTGGCAGAAAAGTAACACCACCAGGTTTCTAGACTGCTATTTCAACAATCAACGTCGACTTAATAGTTGCCTTTAGTGTCCCTTGAAGCAGGCACGGGTAATCATCGGTGAATTCGCCACATAGGTCACTCGCAACACAATTTTCACCGTCTTAGCGTTCCCTTCATGCTGCTTCCGGAGCTCATCTTGAACGTTCAACCGCCAACCAATATGCTAGAAAGCAGCAGTGTAGCAAGCGTGCAGGTCAAACCCTCTGATGAAAACAAAAAGCGACGGGGCGAAGCCTGACGGGAAAAAGCCGTACCAGGCAATGGTGATGGTGACAGTGCTAATGCACATTTGAATAGCGCTGCAAATAACGAAATACACTGGTGTTCTGATGATGATGATAGTGGCCCTTTCAGAGCTAGGCATTATTTTCACAGCTGCTATAAACTTTTCAAAATCGCTATGTGTTATCTAGAAGCGACGTGGAGCTATAAGGTGAACAAAATTCAATGCGATATCCTGATACATTCGGTATTCTGAAATTAGTAGTAGTGAAATATTTTGACATTAAACCAATGAACATTTGGAGGGAAATGTTTGAAAAATTTGGTAATCTGAAAAAATTGTTATACTGAGGTTTGCTTTAACAAGAGTTGACTGTACTACTCTACGGCAAGTTTGCAATAAAATGTGCGAAGACGCCCGGCTTCAGTTTCTACAGACCTGTAAAAAATGAACCAACGGGATTTTACAAACAAAACTACTAAACAGCACTTCACCAGTCACAGCCTGCACTAAAGCAGTTGAATAAAAAAAAACCAAGTTACTATGCGGGCACTGCTCAAACAAAAAAAGAAAATAAAACAATGCCAAAGAGCGAAACTCACCTTTGCCCTCATCGTCCTTGAAGAGCTCCTCGGTGCCGAAACGCAGAATGTCATCCAGTTCCTGCTTAGACATGGTGTTTGAGCGACTGCCCATGCCCGGTCGCACAACCAGGTGAGTCAACATCATCTTTTTCTTCGCGACTTGCGTGATGCGTTCCTCCACTGAGGCACGCGTCACGAACCGGTAGATCATTACTTTGTTGGCCTGGCCTATTCGGTGAGCACGGCTGAACGCCTGCATTCGCACCGACACCACAAGTGCAGGTCAGAGCACTGAGCCGTTTTTTTCAAAACAATTCAGCGCACACATAGCTCTTGTTTGTGTTCAACAACAAAGAATCTGTCTCAACAACATCCAATGCTACAAGGTATTCATGCATTTCTCATTGTAATTTCTTAGCGATTTGGGCTACAATCTCCAAAACTGACAAATGTATGGCAATGTTCATAATGCCACGTTTTATGCGATCTGTACTTTCAGGGTACGTAACAAGGAATCGATTGGGACAGTACGTTTTCAAAGCGCTGAAAAGATGGTCGTATCAGCTTGGCTATTGAGCTGCTAGAACAGGCCTACCTGTCTCAAGAAAAATAAACGATGAAAGGCTTACATTGCCTAAATGTTCATTACCAATTTTGTCTAAAAGAAGAAGAATTAATGTGATGTTTAAAGTACTAACAACCAATTTAGTGCAAAGGGCGTCCTCGGTCTTAGTAGCGTGCTAGACATTAAAAATTGCATTTATAGTTTAGCTTCACAAAAGAAAAAAAAGCTTTTCCGGTACACGATGCCAGGTTCTCACATTTATACCGTGATAACCCTCGACATAGTGCTTAAACACAGGTGGATATATCAGACGAGAGACAGATGAGGCACTAGCCTTCAGCTACTGTACACATGGTGTGAAGATAACTAAGGAACATACAGGCTCGTCTTTAACTCTGGCGATATGACAATCGTGACTGGTAATGTACGCAGTGTCAACACTGGCAGCAAATTTCAAACATAAGACAGCAATGAGACACAAAACAACTCCTCACTGCCAGGCAAAAACAGTATGCAAATTTTTCTCCACACACCAAACACACACACACAACTATACATGCCTGTCGTTCTAAGAAAATCTGAAATGACGTGAATAACAAGTGAATGCAAACGAGCCTGCCATACCTGAATGTCGTTATGTGGGTTCCAGTCAGAATCGTAAATGATGACAGTGTCTGCAGTAGCCAAGTTGATGCCTAGGCCACCCGCCCTCGTAGACAGAAGGAAGCAGAATTGGGGCGCACCGGGAGCTACGCAGGAAATTTCATTTTGTATGACGAGATTTTTTGTATGACGAGATTTCAGTGCAGTCAACAATCTAATCAATGCCCTGACGTTCCATTACAACTTCAAAAACATGCCATCACACTCGGCTGGACAAGGCATGAGTGAATATTCAAGCACTTCAAATATTTGAAGTAATATTAGTTTTCAAATCGGCTGACACGAGTGTAAATTATTCGAAATGAACGGATAGGCGGGTATAACCACCTAGTAAATTCATTCCCCAGTAAAGGTGGTTTCATTGAAGCTTAGGAGTGCTATGCCAAGAAAACACCTATCCATGCACTGCCACAAAGTGCCACTATACTGTAATGAATAAGTACCCTCACATCAATTATTCATTTTTTAGAGTTTAAAAGCTTGTTATAAACGCTCGTATGCTACACATAGTATATTTTTAATATCATGCGATGCGTACCATTTGAACTATTCTGTTCAAAATTATTTGACAATATCAGTATTCGTACCTCAGTATTGTGCAACTATTCAGCTCTATGGGTGTTATATCAAAGGGCTTAAGCAACGGGTGCACGGACAATTGGACCACTGTTTCACACTCCCGAAGCATAATGCAGCCATACCGTTGAACCGATCAATGGCCTCCTGTCGTTGGCTGCCAGTGATGCCTCCATCGATGCGTTCATACTTGTACCCCTCAGCTTCCAAGAAGTCCTCCATGATGTCCAACATCTTGGTCATCTGTGGACAGCAAGCGAGTCATGTGCGCACGAAGCAAAACCATAAACTGCACTAAAGGTTTAACATCTCCCAGAGCCTGCCAGTCTAGAAGACCTTCTCTAGACCTTGTCTTCCTAGACTGATCGTGCCAAGAAGACACCGACAGTCTGGAAGAACTTGTTCCAGAAGGTAACTAAAGTACTTTCCATCTGTTGTGGAAGAAGTCACTTGTGCTGTACAGTCAATGAGAAGGCTAAGGACAAACTGCCAGAAGCCTGTTGCTAGTTTAGTGTCTCGGCAATGCAAGAAGAGACTCGGCCATTCAACCCATCTCAAACTGCAGTTAGCTGAGGATGTTCAGGACAACATCTGCAAACCAGCCAAAAACTCAGCCATGGCAACTCAAGACGTTCAACAGGCACTGATCGCGGGCTCTAGTTAGGGTAATCGCCTATCCACAGCTGTAACAAAACTATGTGATGATTGCCTGCAGCAATGCAGATATTTTTTGCATTTCACGGGGACGCGGCTTTGGGATCACGAAAAATGGCAAAAAATTTTTTTGAAAATAATTTTCAGTTTCTGGGACCCTTTTCCCATCAGATTCCAAAATATCTACCCCAAAGACAGGGCAGAAGTGCTTCAAAGAATTTATTTTGCCCTTCTAGGTGGCATAATTTCTGGAAATCGTGAGAAACAGTATTTAAAAAAAGTTATAGTTTCAAAAAAGTTGTACTTGCACGCCCTAACTGCAGCCGTGGTTTAGCGGTTAGGGCGTCCGACTCGGCTGCGGGAGGTGGCACGTTCGAAACCCACCGCCGGTTAAATTGGGCACAAGCGTACCCCAGCCAGGCGCCTGGCTTTTTTTTCAGGGTGTTGCGCTTGGGAGAAGCCTCACAAACCCCGCTAAGCCCTTCAGAGCGAAACCCAGTTTCGAAAGCAAGCTGGCCTGCAAAGGTGGTTCTTGACGTAGTCTCCACGTGGATGACTTTCGAGTCAGTTCAAACCAAGAATACCGTATTTACCCGATTCTACCGCGCCCTCGATTGTAACGCGCACCCAATTTCCACCGCGAAAAAAAAAAAAAAAAAACCGTAAGACATCAATTGCAACCCGCACCCATTTCTCTCGCTGGCCCGCACGATCACACCACTCGAAAAAACGACTCCTTTCGGGAGCGTCTTCCATTTAAATATGAGGTACGGGCGAAGCTTGTGCTCATCTGACGTGTAACAGACCATTGCCGTCACTGTAGTTTTACCGTGGACCGATGTCAGCATGCGAACTTGCTTCGCCCCCTTCTTCTCGACAGTTGTGGTGCCAGGCATGTCGAAGTAAAGAGGCGTCTGATCGGCATTCCCGATTTGCCCAAGCAGGTAGCCGTTGTTGCACCGCAAGTTTAGGACGAATCTCTGAAAACTGTGAAGCTTTTCATCGTACTCCTCCGCAAAACTTTTCGCATATGCATGTTCCCCTTCGGAGGAAAAAGCCTTTCCTCTTCATAAAGTTAGTTAGCCAGCACCTGCTCGCTTTAAACTGGCTCCGCATTAGACCTTTTTCTAAGACTAATTGCATAGCCCACACTTGGAGCAGTTCTGTCGTCACGGGCCGCTGTGCGACTCGCTGCTCAAGCACATACTCGCCGAGCAGCTCTTTAATTTGCGGAAACCGACCCTGGTGTGGTCCACAGAAGCCTTTGCGTGAAGTTTTGCTGTCGACAATCTTCTGCTTTTGTTTCTGCCGGTCCCGCACGCACGTTTCGGGAACTCCGAACGACCGCGATGCGGCCCGATTTCCGTCCGTTTCTGCACACGCGATGACTTTTCTTTTAAAAGCGGCATCGTGGTGCACTTGAGTTTTGGGAGTCGGCCCATCCACGCCGTCGATTCAAATGCACTACTAGATGACGAACTCCTCAGCACACGTACGAAGTGCCGCACATGGGAAACACATAAGCAGAAATGACCGACGCGCTATGCCGACGCACGTAGGGGGCGGCCATTTTGGATTTGCCGATGGCAATAGATTGACCGTAATTTTTTTGTTCGTACTCGATTCTAACGCGCATGCGATTTATGAACTCGCTTAAGCGGAGAGAAGGTGCGCGTTAGATTCGAGTAATTACGGTACATGCGTTCGCACCCGTGCGATATGTCAAACACAGAGAGAGCCGTTTCTCACACTCCCGAAAGCTTGCAAAGCGTTCGCGATGGTGCAACCGGAAGCTGGCTTCTTGGTCTCATCAAAAAGAGCATTTTTTCGTGTTCAAATTCGCCGCTTCAGCTGGCTTTCCGATTCAGAAAGAAACGCGCAAAAAGCAAATACTTGGGGGGACATTGCGAGGCCTCCAATTGGCCGCATTCGTCATGCTGTCGCAGCTCACCTCGCCATTAGCCCAATGCTCGCTCTGGGACATTGTTATCGGCTACTTGTGCGTCGCAAGCACACGGCTGTCGAAAAATCACAATTTCGTGATGTGTTAATGGCTCGACGATCACTTAGCCTATAATTATGCCTTAGGAGCTATAAGCGGATCCTCGATCGGATTACTATGGTTGCACTTGTAACCGTGTGCCACACCCTCGGAGTCGTCCTTAAGCCTAACTCCACTAACGGTGAGACAAACCTTTAACTTTGCAAGCAATAACAACACGCTAGCGCACTTGAAGAGACGTGCTTTTCGCAAGAAGCATGGCCATTTTACGCCTTTCTAGGTGATGCGGATGGGCATTTTATGCATTGGCAGCAGAACAATATCTTGGCAACCCTTACAGAGATTTTTATTCCGTTTTTTGTAACGCTCCTTCAACTGTGCTTTGGGAAGCTGCGATATTACTGTTTCGTATTACTCCTTTAAAAATTTTTTCGTAGGGCTTCTTGTTTGTAGTGCAAGTGTTCTTACTGCAGTGAAACTGGAGAAAACATCAACTACAAGTTTTAGCGTGGCGAAAAAAATTATTTTGAAAACGCAACCCTTTTGAGCATACATTTGGCTGTGCGTACAGAAATTGCCAACTATTTACGCTATTTGATAAATCCTCCAGCCCCTCCACAAGGTTCAATCAAAAATTCATCTCTCATGATGTTTATGTGGTTTGATAAGACAGATGCTTGGGCTAGTTGGCGATTGGGAATCAACAGCGTTTTCTGTCCTAGCCTCTTCTTCTGTAGTTACGTCGTAACTACTCATAGTCTTGCGCTGTGCAAATATGTTGGTTTATGTGGTATCGCCTTGAAATTTTTATGGAAGCACTCGAGGCCATTTTTAATCTCTGTGGCAATATTTATCAAGATCCAACCAGAAACAAGAAAGTCTGTTCCTAAAGGCACGTCCGCTCCTCAAACATACACTCCTTCTTAGGAGTTCGTTGACTGCTTGAGCATAACAGCCAAACGTTCTTTCAAATCTTGGCAATTATGTTAGCTAGTTAGACAACGAAACATATCCTACAGTTGAAGCTGGATGTTTTTCAGCGTGGAGATATAATCTCCCTGAATGGCCTCACTTTAATAAACAGGCTTTCATATCGGGCAGAGGTAAGTGGCATACCTGAGAGAAGATGAGGACACGGTGGCCAGTTTCCTTCAGATGGCGCAGCATCTTGTGCAGCAGGATGAGCTTGCCGCAAGCCTTCGTGAGAGCCGTGCCTTCGTATGCGCCGTTGGGCATGCGCGGTGCCTCCTACAAATCGAGCACAACAAACAAGGCGAGTTACAACGTGGCTACCAACAGCAGATCGCTTCGCAGAGGAATCCCGGCAACATGCTAATTAGTGCTATACACTATGACCACCACATCATCACCATACAGCGCTTCAGAAGACAAGCTCACAACAACATAGAAGCTACCTTATATATATACTGCGATAGCATGAATGCATGTTAAAAAAAGAAAAAAAAAGGAAGAACATACCTGAGAGGCAGCAGGAAACAGATAGGGGTGATTGCAGCATTTCTTCAGGTCCATCATGATGTTCAACAAGGACACGGAATGACTGCCTCCCTTGGCGTTGAGTGCCTCGTAGTTACGAGTGAGGATGTACTTGTAATACTTCCTGCAAGTCCACAGTTCGAGAGCAAAGAGTAAAGCATGGCAATGAGAAGAAGTCCTATAACACGTAAAAGCACGCAGCCCAAGCGAGCCCATCAATTCACCCTACTCCGATTGTGGTTTGCACATTGTCTGCGACACTTCCCTCAGCGACAGGCTTATTGGTTTGCATTTCCTCTTTGTGAAGCAGACCTCACAAGACTCCTCGCAGCTAACAAATCTGTACCCCACTTTGGAGACAATAACTCACTCAAGAAATACACAAAATCCAGGGTCAAGTCAAGGTGCCATTAATATGTGAACTGCCATGCGCAAGGAGGCATCACGACAGTACCTCACAGCAATGCAAGGGGGGTATCATCACATCAATACATAGAGATCTTTTTTTGCGTATTTTTTTTTTTTGCGAGTGGTAGTTGAAGGAGCAGATTATATATAGAGGCAGGTTATATCCAAGGAAATATGCTTGTAACACAGCATGCCACGATGACCAGAAAGAGGGCCAAACAAAGAGGCTTTTAGCTGGCTTTGGCAAACCACTAAACAAAAGTCCTCATTATTCATTTTAACTCAAAAACATTGCCTGCAGTGCATACAAGAATTTAAATGAATGCGTAGCGGTCCCCTTCATGTAAACATTGAACTGGGAAGAGCTTTACATAAATAAAAACCGCCATAAGCAGGGAGTGATGTCTCAACACTAAGCCTTCATCTTGACAGCACACTGCTAAAAAATTGAAAAGCAATTTCTTCTATGAATGCTGCAGTATTTTTTTTTCACTTGTCCATGACGGATGAATTGCCAGCCACTGGACTTTTTTAACGAGCACCTGCATTTAAATCTGACACGCATTTCAATTTCGATTCATGATGGGAACAAAATACTACAGATGTGGCTCCGAGATTTTGTGCCGCGCCGTTATTTTGCACACTTGTCTTCCGCAGATGCAGTGGCATATAACTATGGCAAAGTCCATAAAGTGTTTTAAGGGTCTCGTCCCAGTCTATGGGACCCTTGCCAGTTATCTCGTGCATTGCAATTAACACATTATATATAACAATAAAGTAGAGACGTCAACTGACTCACTTTTGGAGAGGGGTAAGGTCAACGCGAATGATGAATTCGCTCTTAGAGGGCATTCCCTGCATGATAAAAAGAGAAAAGAGAAACATCAGCAGTATCGGCAAACACCGAAAAAGAGTACAGTGGAGGGAAAAAAAAAGAAATTGAATTTGCTGAGAGAAGAGAGCAATTTTTAGCCGGCTGAGAAGTTGCTGTGAATTTCAGGCCATGTGCTGCGCTATAATACTTGGCTCGCGTGTTCTCGGGAGCGTCGACTACCGATCGGCGGCATTTTCTGATCATGCTCAATAAGTGTTGCAGGGCCCCCTTAAATTTGAAGGGGAACTTCGCGACAGAGCGGAATTCTTCTGAAATAGGTGCTTTCACGGCTTAGCACTCCTACACTGCAGTGAAGTCACCTTTACAAGCGGTTACATGCGTATAATATAATGTAAAAACCAAAACAGATTTTTTTAAAAAAAAAAAAAAACGCTATGAAAAGTCGATTTTTGTCTTAAATACCGGTCATTCACAGAAAAAAATTTGCAAGTCTTGACACTATGGGCAGCTGAGGTTGAAAGCCTCCATTGCCGTCGTGAGCATCAGCAGCGGCGCCATTGGGCAAGGTTGGGCAAGGTCTACATTGTTCAAGCAACGCCAATTTTGCCTCGGTTATCTGCTGTCAGTCTGCTGTTTTCTTTTCTTCATTTCCTTCAGAAATTAGCCATAGTCGACAGCAGTCTACAATAGGCCTGTAAGAAAAAAGTTACTGAGTGTGCTGAAGCGCACGGCAATCTGGCGGCACACCGGAACTTCAGTGCATCGGAGAAAAGCGTCCGATACTGGAGGATCCAAAAGCAGCGCATCACATCCTGCAGCAACCAAAAAAAAAAAAAAAAAAGAATTGCTTCGTGGACGAATTGCAATGCACCCCAAACTGGAAACACTACTCGCTGAATTCGTCCGAGAGCAACGTGCAAGGTCGCTACCTGCAACAGCAGAGTGCATCCGCATGAAAGCTCTCGAGGTAGCACGCAACTCTGGGGTCACAAGGGTGCACCAATTTACAAAGTGAAAGGGCATTGCGCTGAGGCAGTGTACTTCCGTTTTTCCACAAATGCTGCATCAATAACACATTGCATGGAACGGAGGACGATGCGCTCTGGGACCCTACTAGTGAAAAACAGACATCGTCGGACTCAAGTTCAGAGGAGTCTTAGTGACAGCACTTTGTGGATTTTTGGCATTTAACTACATAAGATTAGTATCCAAATAAAAAGAAATTGGTTGTAAATTGGTTGGTTGCATTTACCAAGGTAAAGGTGTATCACGATATTTTGCGATATTTAAGAATTTCTTTTTCGGAGAATTAAAGTTTGGGGAGTCTATCGATATTCCAGTTCTGCCTATATTCTGTTTTTTTTGTTATTGTACCACAATTAGTTCTCAGGTCATCTGAAAATAAGTGATGTCTAATTATGCCATTCCTTAGAAGTTGTGGGAATTGAGGCTGGCCCGCTGCCTTTGCGCGGGCTTTCCCGCCTTTCTGCCATTCTCATGTCCCGACATGTCTGCCCTCTTTTGCTGTCTGCCGCGCTGGGAAGGGCGGAGTGACGTTTAACTCCCTCACCCGGTAGCGGATGTTGACTGTGGCGCCGCGCGCGGGGACCCCCGAGAGGTTTTGGCGCGCTGCGTCGGGAGCGGTGAGTACAGTCCGGGACTTCAAACGGTGAGCCACGCATTCTTTTCCGTCCGTCGAGTCCCGTCGCTCGGGGCTCGTCGGACTTCGCTGACGGCGCCTCGCGCCCGATGCGAACGCTCACCTTTTGTTGCCCCGCTGCGTACTCACGGCCGAAGGGCAGTACGGTGTCCTAGTGTGTGGCTAGCTACGCCGACCCGTCTCCCTTCGAAGCCAACGCGAGCGCCTTTGCCCTCGCTCGAGCAACCGGGCCCTTTGTCCCGGTGTCTCCGTGGATCACCTTTACCGCGGAGACGTGCTCGTGGCACCCCTGTGTAGTACCTTGTGCCCGTGGCGTGGATAAGCCTACTTGCTTTCCCGCCGCGCCTATTTGCAACGGGCTGTACTGCGTTTGGTGTTGCCACAATAAAGTGTTGCGACTTGAGCAGTATCGTGTTTCCCGCCACGGCGACGGTTAACGCGTGCCCTGCGGCTCGCTAAGACCGGACCCACGCTGGTGGCCGTACTCCTTCGGGATACGTGTACACCACACTGGCGCCCAACGCGGTATCAAAAGCTCTAGCTTTTGATTGCTCTTAGCGAGTCAGTTCGCCTGCGCGATTCGGGCTCGTCGCAACATGGCTGCTTCGCGGGACTTTTGTCCGCTGTCCCTTTTAGCGGATGCCGCGTTGCACACGGAGGCCATTGCCTCTATTGACAGGAACCCTTCTGCACCCGTCCGTGTCGGCACCCCCTATTGCGGTGACGACACGGCGCCTAGCCGCTCCCTTTGGAGATGGCGCGTCGCTTCGGAATGGGCCTCTTGCCCTACCCGAACGTTATGTCTGCTTCGTGGCATGCCGCGTTGCACCAAGAGGCCACCGCCTCTATCGACGGGCGCGCTTCGGCGCTCGCCTGTGTCGTCACCCCTTTTTGTGGTGAATACACTCCTACGTGGTAGCTGACGCGCTAGCGCACTTGAGGAGACGTGCTTTTTCGCAAGAAGCATGGCCATTTTACGCCCTTCTAGGTGATGCGGATGGGCATTTTATGCATTGGCAGCAGAACAATATCTTGGCAACCCTTACAGAGATTTTTATTCCGTTTTTTGTAACGCTCCTTCAAACTGTGCTTTGGAAAGCTGCGATATTACTGTTTTCGTATTACTCCTTTAAAATTTTTTCGTAGGGCTTCTGTTTGTAGTGCAGGTGTTCTTACTGCAGTGAAACTGGAGAAAACATCAACTACAAGTTTTAGCGTTGCGAAAAAAATTATTTTGAAACGCAACCCTTTTTGAGCATACATTTGGCTGTGCGTACAGAAATTGCCAACTATTTACGCTATTTGATAAATCCTCCAGCCCCTCCACAAGGTTCAATCAAAAATTCGCCTCTCATCATGTTTATGTGGTTTGATAAGACAAATGCTTGGGCTAGTTGGTGATTGGGAATCAACAGCGTTTTCTGTCCTAGTCTCTTCTTCTGTAGTTACGTCGTAACTACTCGTAGTCTTGCGCTGTGCAAATATGTTGGTTTATGTGGTATCGCCTTGAAATTTTTATGGAAGCACTCGAGGCCATTTTTAGTGTCTGTGGCAATATTTATCAAGATCCAACCAGAAACAAGAAAGTCTGTTCTCAAAGGCACGTCCCCTCCTCAAACATACACTCCTTCTTAGGAGTTCGTTGACTGCTTGAGCATAACAGCCAAACGTTCTTTCAAATCTTGGCAATTATGTTAGCTAGTTAGGCAACAAAACATATCCTACAGTTGAAGCTGGATGTTCTTCAGCGTGGCGATATAATCTCCCTGAATGGCCTCGCTTTAATAAACAGGCTTTCATATCGGGCAGAGGTAAGTGGCATACCTGAGAGAAGATGAGGACACGGTGGCCAGTTTCCTTCAGATGGCGCAGCATCTTGTGCAGCAGGATGAGCTTGCCGCAAGCCTTCGTGAGAGCCGTGCCTTCGTATGCGCCGTTGGGCATGCGCGGTGCCTCCTAAAAATCGAGCACAACAAACAAGGCGAGTTACAACGTGGCTACCAACTGCAGATCGCTTCGCAGAGGAATCCCAGCAACATGCTAATTAGTGCTATACACTATGACCACCACATCATCACCATACAGCGCTTCAGAAGACAAGCTCACAACAACATAGAAGCTACCTTATAAATATACTGCGATAGCATGAATGCATAATAAAAAAAAAAAGAAAAAAAAGAAAGAACATACCTGAGAGGCAGCAGGAAACAGATAGGGGTGATTGCAGCATTTCTTCAGGTCCATCATGATGTTCAGCAAGGACACGGAATGACTGCCTCCCTTGGCGTTGAGTGCCTCGTAGTTACGAGTGAGGATGTACTTGTAATACTTCCTGCAAGTCCACAGTTCAAGATCAAAGAGTAAAGCATGGCAACGAGAAGAAGTCCTATAACACGTAAAAGCACGCAGCCCAAGCGAGCCCGTTAATTCATCCTACTCAGATTGTGGTTTGCACATTGTCTGCGACACTTCCCTCAGCGACAGGCTTATTGGTCTCCATTTCCTCTTTGTGAAGCAGACCTCACAAGACTCCTCGCAGCTAACAAATCTGTACCCCACTTTGGAGACAATAACTCACTCAAGAAATACACAAAATCCAGGGTCAAGTCAAGGTGCCATTAATATGTGAACTGCCATGCGCAAGGAGGCATCACGACAGTACCTCACAGCAATGCAAGGGGGGTATCATCACATCAATACATAGAGATCTTTTTTTGCATATTTTTTTTTTTGCGAGTGGTAGTTGAGGGAGCAGATTATATATAGAGGCGGGTTATATCCAAGGAAATATGCTTGTAACACAGCATGCCACGATGACCAGAAAGAGGGCCAACGAAGAGGCTTTTAGCTGGCTTTGGCAAACCACTAAACAAAAGTCCTCATTATTCATTTTAACTCAAAAACATTGCCTGCAGTGCATACAAGAATTTAAATGAATGCGTAGTGGTCCCCTTCATGTAAACGATGAACTGGGAAGAGCTTTACATAAATAAAAACCGCCATAAGCAGGGAGTGATGTCTCAAAACTAAGCCTTCATCTTGACAGAACACTGCTAAAAAATTGAAAAGCAATTTCTTCTATGAATGCTGCAATATTTTTTTTTCACTTGTCCATGACGGATGAATTGCCAGCCACTGGACTTTTTTAACGAGCACCTGCATTTAAATCTGCCACACATTTCGATTTCGATTCATGATGGGAACAAAATACTACAGATGTGGCTCCGAGATTTTGTGCCGCGCCGTCATTTTGCACACTTGTCTTCCGCAGATTCAGTGGCATATAACTATGGCAAAGTCCATAAAGTGTTTTAAGGGTCTCGTCCCAGTCCATGGGACCCTTGCCAATTATCTTGTGCCTTGCAATTAACACATTATATATAACAATAAAGTAGAGAGGTCAACTGACTCACTTTTGGAGAGGGGTAAGGTCAACGCGAATGATGAATTCGCTCTTAGAGGGCATTCCCTGCATGAAAAGAGAAACATCAGCACGTATATCAGCAGTATCGGCAAACACCGAAAAAGAGTACAGTGGAGGGAAAAAAAAAAATTGAATTTGCTGAGAGAAGAGAGCAATTTTTAGCCGGCTGAGAAGTTGCTGTGAATTTCAGGCCATGTGCTGCGCTATAATACTTGGCTCGCGTGTTCTCGGGAGCGTCGACTACCGATCGGCGGCGTTTTCTGATCATGCTCAATAAGTGTTGCAGGGCCCCCTTAAATTTGAAGGGGAGCTTCGCGACAGAGCGGATTTCTTCTGAATAGGTGCTTTCACGGCTTAGCACTCCTACACTGCAGTGAAGTCACCTTTACAAGCGGTTACATGCGTATAGTATAATGTAAAAACCAAAACATAGATCTCTTTTTTTATATAAAAAAAAAAACGCTGTGAAAGTCAATTTTTGTCTTAAATACCGGTCATTCACAGAAAAAAATTTGCAAGTCTCGACACTATGGGCAGCTGAGGTTGAAAGCCTCCATTGCCGTCGTGAGCATCAGCAGCAGCACCATTGGGCAAGGTTGGGCAAGGTCTACATTGTTCAAGCAACGCCATTTTTGCCTCGGTTATCTGCTGTCAGTCTGCTGTTTTCTATTCTTCATTTCCTTCAAAAATTAGCCATAGTCGACGGCAGTTTACAATAGGCCTGTAAGAAAAAAGTTCCTGAGTGTGCCGAAGCGCACGGCAATCTGGCGGCACAACGGAACTTCAGTGCATCGGAGAAAAGTGTCCGATACTGGAGGAGCCAAAAGCAGCGCATCACATCCTGCAGCAACCAAAAAAAAAAAAAAAAAAGAATTGCTTCGTGGACGAATTGCAATGCACCCCAAACTGGAAACACTACTCACTGAATTCGTCCGAGAGCAACGTGCAAGGTCGCTACCTGCAACAGCAGAGTGCATCCGCATGAAAGCTCTCGAGATAGCACGCGACTCTGGGGTCACAAGGGTGCACCGATTTACGAAGTGAAAGGGCATTGCGCTGAGGCAGCGTACTTCCGTTTTTCCACAAATGCTGCATCAGTAACACATTGCATGGAATGGAGGACGATGCGCTCTGGGACCCTACTAGTGAAAAACAGACATCGTCGGACTCAAGTTCAGAGGAGTCTTAGTGACAGCACTTTGTGGATTTTTGGCATTTAACTACATAAGATTAGTATCCAAATAAAAAGAAATCGGTTGTAAATTGGTTGGTTGCATTTACCAAGGTAAAGGTGTGTCATAATATTTTGCGATATTTAAGAGTTTCTTTTTCGGAGATTTGAAGTTTGGGGAGTCTTATCGATATTCCAGTTCTGCCTATATTCTGTTTTTTTTTTTTTTTTTGTTATTGTACTACAATTAGTTCTCAGATTATCTGAAAATAAGTGATGTCTAATTATGCCATTCCTTAGAAGTGATTAGAGCACTTTCTCTCAATATTTTTAGTTAAGTTTAAAGTGCAGCTGTAGCCAAAGATCCGCCAAGTGGAGCTATGCCTATTATATTGATGCTGATATACACCATCCCGTAAAAATTTTAAATTGTTTTGATGTTCCATAATTCTTAAGGGTAGTATGCTCAAGTTATCTTTCACAAAAAATTGTATGTTCAACTTAGCCATAAAAAAATAGCATAGCTCCACAGTTTGATTCCTTACGAGTTGAACGGTATGACATTTATTAAAATTAGCTCACAAAAATGTAACGAAAAGTTCCCTAAGGCTTGTCGGGCTGTCAAAAAATGTGAAGCTGAGGAAATGGCATTTCAAGTTTTGACACTTGCTGCAAAAATTTCTAAAAGGCTCAAGATGGCAACACTCGGCCTGCTACAACGCTCATGGCGCACGCGCGATATTCCAACGAATATTGTTCTTTTGGGGGCATTTTACTGCTGCTGGAGTGCTTTGAAGGCCCACTTTATTGCATTTCCTGACCGAATTTAGCGTTAGTAATTTGAGAGTAGGTGCTCAGACGTGAAAAAGCTCCGAAAATAACTTTTGCAAAAAATTAACCTTTTGGTCATTTCTTATCGTATTATCTTTTTGGCCATTTCTTATTGTACTAACTTAGCGAATTTCTAGAGCCTTCACATCTCGAGAAAGTCTTGAAAGATCAAATGCAGATAATTTCAAACATGCACTATCCTACTGAACTTGAAGTTTCGGAACAAATCATTTTTTTACTAAATTATTCGGTCTGTTGCTATAAAATGTAACAAAAGGGGGAACCGTGAAATGAAGCTTGCTCAGGTCTTTTTTTTTTTTTTTTTTTTTTTTGTCAAGTGTTTACTGTACTTTCAATTTCGTGGTGGCCATGAAATATCACATAAGTCACAGCTGCAAGTTGTGCAAGCCATTCAGTCCTGTGTTTTTCTGGCATTGCGCTGTAAATAAGTTCACGATGGATCCTAACCAACTGGCCGAACTTGTCGTCTTACCACAACTCAGTACTATTCACCACACGCGTAAACCCAGACGGGTTACCTCGGCAGTACGCACCTTGAGCACATCTGCTTTGAGCCTCCGCAAGAGGTGGCATCCCAGCAGATCGTGAAGCTTCTTCACCTGCTCCTCTTTGGCCAGGTCAGCAAACTCGTTCAGGAATCCCTGCAGGTCACTGCGAGTGCAGCACAGCCAACAATCAGTCAAAAGTTTGTTTCCCTTTCCACCACAGGAGCCGTGGCGAATGTTGCTTATATGGCTAGAAGAAATGCTCAAATTTGACGTCTAGTATTACACGCTCAAGTCAACAACATAACGAGATGGCTCTAAATTTCCAGTCAAACGCAAAACACGCTCCTTGGCATCAAGCAGAACATCAACAGATTTCCCGGACCCTCAAGAAACTGCGCTGAATGCAGCATTTTTGGTTTCAAGGATGCGGTGGCCGCGGCGCGGTGGGTTCGAGGGTCCGAAAATAACCAAAATGGCGGCAACGATAGAGTCTGTGGTTAGCGGTAGAGTCCGCAAAATAAAAAAGCAAAAGCTATAGACGTCCGGAATTTCAGACTTTTCAATACATTGGCTCTACGGGGAACTTGACGGTGCCACAGATGATTCCAGGAAATCAGGCATGTCCGGAATTTCAGGCTTGCAAGAAATCGGAAGTCGACTGTACTTATGAAAGGAGGAAAGCGCGAAACTGACCAAGAAGACCAAAAGCCATTTAGGCCACACAAACTCTGGTTCAATTTACAACTGGCAGAAGCAATTGCTTACACATAGACCACCACGTCAAAGTGGAACATGCAAAGTGAAACTAGCCCTTCTCTGGTCCTCTTAGAGAACAACAGAACTCATGTATTTTTACTGCTGCTTATGTTCAGTGCCATGCACAATCACGCATTTTGCGATGAATACACTCAGCAACCGTCACCATGTTTTATTAGGTTGGCAGAATTGCAAGATAGATGAATATTACATAGAAGTGCATCTTATACCAAAGTGTCACTTATAGGCTGAAAAGTACCGTAATTAAGCAGTGGAACATTTGTGAAAATCTTCAGGACAGTAGACGACTAAGAGGAAAGAATGATTGTACACAATCAGATAATCACAATCCCACCAAGTCGTCTTCGCCCGAAAAGCCAACGCTGGTCAGACTTACTTGAAGTTTTGCGGACTCAGGAAGTTGAGGAGATGGAAGAGCTCCTCCAGATTGTTCTGGAGGGGTGTACCAGTCAGAAGAAGCTTGTAGTTGATCTTGTAGTTGTTCAGCACCTTGAAGAACTGCATGTGACCACGCACACACACGAAGGACGGGAAAAGTTAATTAATGAAAGACAAAACTTCTCAATTTAGTGTAACGATAAAAGGCAAAACAGACAAGATGTTTCAACAACGGCATGCTTGCCACTTCACAGACTTCGTATAAGTAAGTAATGTTTCCATAACATGCACATTTATGTAGATTCAATGACCAGCATGCTTCACATTTGACTTGTAAAAGGTATGTTTCCATAACATCCACATCACATGTTGTGTTTATGAAAATGAAGTCACCTCTCAATAGATGTTCATTTTCAAAAATGTTAAGCAGGCTGAGGAGCAAATTATTCCCATAAAATGTACATGTCTAGCAGTCCTTACGTGGCTTTGCTGAAATATTTTGATAACCTAAGATGTACACAAGTTAAACCTGTTTTTGCCACTGCATAAAACACAAGAGTGACTAATGTAGAGCCCTGCTCCTCCCATCATCTAATAACCTTATTATAACAAATTTGCATCTTGCATGAAAATAAGTTTGTTATATCCAGAAATTCGTTATAAAGGTTTATTTTAACACTATTGCAACACTATTTTATTTATTTCGTTATAACCGATATTTCATTATATCCGGTTTCATTATAACGAGGTTTGAGTGTAATGCCATAAAACACTGACATTCAAGAGCAGAAAGAAAAGCTTTCAGGCACCCCCACCTTAGACTGGTTGTTTTTCAGTCGATGAGCTTCGTCCACGACTAGCACTTGCCAGTCCACAGAGCCAAGAATGGTGGCGTCAATGCACACCAATTCGTAAGAAGTCAACAACACGTGAAACTTCACGGCTGAATCTTTCTGCAATGAGGAGAAGCGACACAGGCGAACATTGCGAAAATCAGAAAGGTGATGGAAATTGTTTACCGACAATGACACCAGAAGTAAGTCACACAGGATAGGTCAAACTTATCGAACTAAATTCGATTACGCAAGCAGAGATTTCTGGGCAAACAATCAAACCCAAGAAGGTCCCAGGATAACTTCTCCCATTTGCCAAACTACAAGTAAAGTATTAACAAGATATTTTCTATGCGTGTTATTTTTACGTTTAATATCCAACCATAGCAAATACCACGAAGTGTCGAACAGCACCAGCATAAAACCGCACCAAAATGTTGAAAACCAATTGTTCAGAGGACCCCCTCAGAAACTGCACCAACGCCACAGCAAAAACTAAAAGCAAGCACTAACCTTCATGCGGCAGGCCTTGTTGGGGTTGCGAACCGCCTTCTCGTCGAAAGAAAACTCGTGCTCTCGAATGACAGCTCGGCTGTCTTTGTCCCCAATATAGGTCACCACGTAGAAATCCGGTGCCCACACCTCAAACTCGCGCTCCCAGTTGATGATGGTCGATAGTGGGGCGCTCACGAGGAAGGGACCGCGGCAGTGGCCCTGAAGCAAGAGTGAGCATGCAGGCAGCAAATTAGAACACATGCTGGTTTTTCAATCCCAATAGCATTGACGACCACACATACCACCACTAATGCATGGGTTTAGCTGATAATGCGGAGCCATTCAATGTTGCACCATGGCCCCATTAATGTGCAGTACTCGTGGATTCAAACACAAATCCAAATTTTTCAGTAAAACACCTGGTGTGTGCAATAGCTCAATATAACTAAGTCTAGTCGCCACAAATCTGGCCTCTGAAGATAATGTTGGGTGTCATCTACCCATTCTAGTCTAAATGACGCCAATACAATTTGAACTGAAGACTGCAAACAAAAGTATGCGCGTTACTTCCCCTTAAACTGTCCCATTTTATTGCATGAGTACTACACAGTCCTCATGAACTGAAATGCGACAATTATCGCACGAACGATAACGACATATTTTCTACTCATAACGTGTACACCAGAGCTTCCCTCATCTTTAAAGGCCAGTTTTGTAACAGCACCACGCAGTGATCCCAAACAACCAAGCATATCAGTCATTGTACTGAAAATTTTGATATGTTACATCTGTGAGGACCGCACAACTAAACATCTATCAGATAGACCTCGAGGGTACTGCCGTGTTTGCCGTGCATTTTCACAGGCAACCAGGAGAATTTTGTTCAAAGTGAAGCTGTAGGCACTGATCCTCAGAAAAAGACTAATCGCATAAACATCGGGAGGAAATCAGAAAAGGTGTTTCTCACTACACTGACAGTAGAGTTTTTGCCAGAGAGGCAAACAAAATATCCATATTGTGGGGATCCGAGGCGCGCCTGCGACCATTTTGGAGGCATTCCGCCGTATGGCCGCTCCCTTTCCTTTTCCGTGCTCTGGTAACGGCGCGCGGCAATAGATAGCGCCACGTGTTCTCAAGGGCTGCGAGAACCGGGAGGCCAAGTCACGTGCGCGACAAAAAGAGTATCTCCTTCAATGGTCGGCGTCTGGTAAGCACGTGTTTCCTTCTTGCTCGTCCCCTTTGGGAATCGCCGGACTGTAGCCTGCCTGGGGGCCTTGACATCCCGGCAGGCGTGTTTACTTGAGTGCTAGCTTCAATACCGTACGCTAAGCCAACAGCAGTGCCTAGCGCTTGAAGTAGTCGCACCAAACCCGAGCCGCACTTACCGGAGGCCTACGCATACAAGGTTTGCCCCAACTCTCGCGACCAGGCCCAGTGGCCATCGTGAGAGTGCGCAGCATAGCCAGGAGGGACCTTTTCCCGACCGGTGTGTCAAAGCTCATCACTGCCAGCTGCGACACGCTCGCGGTTTCCCCTTATTCTGAACGTCCGCGTGCAGGAGCCTTTGCTCTCCGCGTCCCGGAGGTGACCATTGTACTGTTGTCCGGGGTGCCGCCAAAGGCAATAAAGTGTTTGTGTATTTCTGTTATTCTAACACATAGTCTGTTTTGCAGCACCGCGCTAAACGCTTTGTTAGTTGAGCGCACATGGCACGGTGCGCTACACGCGAGTAGCTGACGGAGTCGCGGACCTGTGGCACGCTAAGCGTGAACCCACGGTGATCATCCGCTACGGTGAGTAGCGAGGTCACCATAATATCCAATCGACTGCAACAATGCTCATGCAACAGGGAGGAGGAAGAAAGCACCGACCTCCTTGAAGAGCGAGTAAGGAAGACAATGGTCTGGATGGTCTTGCCCAGACCCATCTCGTCGGCAAGGATTGTGTCCGTGTGGTTGGCCCAGGAGAAGCGGAGCCAGTTAACCCCTTCCAGCTGATACGGGTGCAGCTCGTTGTCGTTCTCAAGGACAAACGGCGGCTGTGACTCGTACTTCCGCTTCGGGTCCACGGGGGCGCGGTCCTGGTTGGTCTGGGGTGCCCCTGCCGCCCCGGGAGTCGTCGTCCCGGAGATCCCTAGACTTCTTGCTTTTGGACTTACTCTTCCCGCTGAAGGAAAGAAGGAAGAGGGTGAGCAAGGACAACACCTAAACAGCACAATGACGAAGAATACATGTTAGTGCAAACAAAAACCAATTAAAGAAAGAAAGAGGCCTCAAAGTGTGCCAGACTTTTTTGCCTCCTCCTCTTTCTTTCAAATCCTTGTTTCTTTGTTTTGGCTATTGTCTATCCCTACAGTGTCAACCAACTCGTTCGGCAATAACTGATACTCAAGGATGGCAAAACAGACGCACCTAGTTATGTATGTTCCTGGCTTTATTTTTATCTTCCTCTATAAGAAATGATGTGAAAAACAACAGCAAGTTGAGCTATTTGGTAGACATCCACAAGGAAGGTAAGAATACGGAGAGCAACATGACAGAAGAGGTCAAGAAATGGTGTTCGTGTTGTCTCCCATGTCGGCACGCACCAAATTCTATCATAAGAGCACTATTAATCACTAGAGCTGCTACTACATCGAAGCACAGTGACACAGCACTCACAGGACAGTAGCTTTCACCCCCTGGTCGCATGACCTGTGTAATGACTGCTGCTACGGATGCAGAGAAACAAGACAAAAAGCGACGAATACCCTGAGGACTTCTTGCTCGTGGCAGGTGCTTGATCGGCGTTCTCGACTGAGGCCCTCAGGTCCCAGTAGTCCTGAATGGCCTTCTGGAGATCAGGGATCTCAAACTCCCCGGGCTCCTCAGCCTCCCATGAGGACTGGTCGTAGGGCAGTTCTCGCCACTTGACCAGGTACAGGTTTGAGCCGTCGCGCAGCGTCCGGTGGTTGATGATGCGGTGCACCTGTAGCCATTCGGGCCGGATGCCGTAGCGATAGTACTTCTCCTCCAGGTTCTGGTAGTTCTTGTCTCGCGCATGCTTCTCCTCCCGGCTGCTCTTGTTGTCGCTGGTCCCGTTGGAGCCGTCGTCTGGCAGCGGGGGATCGTCCATGTCGTTCTTGCGACAGTAGTTACGATACAACCCCGGATGGTAGACATCCAACTGAAAAGATAGAACGGAGCCACAGCGTTAGCATTGTCGCAGCTGCCGTGAAATCTTGTTCATTTGGATCTTAAGTAGCCTTTCCTTAGCACGAGTGAAAGACTGAAGAAAAGAAGACACATAGTAACATGTACAGCGCTATGTGTCTTTTCCCTTGAACAGTCTTTTACTCGTACTAAGGAAAACATATTCGAGATGCAACACCAACAAACCTACATTGTAACTCTCACGATAAGATTCCGTGGTACCGCAAAAAAAAAATAAATCATACGGATGTACAGTTACCGAAGACACAAAAGTTTTTAAAACAAGAACAAATTTCTGGCACAGCACAACACTTTTTTTTTTACAGAATGTATCCGTAAGGTCTGCAGTTATATTGCACTAAAGTGGCATGAAAGCTGCAATTATTATCATCTCACGACTTCCTTCACAAGGCAGTTGCAGTAGAAGACCCACGTCTTCATCGCAACTACACTCACGCGAACAGTAACAAAGGGTTCTAAAGAGTTACCTCGCTAAAGCTCACTCCGAAAGCAAAGCGCATGCAACATAAAAGGAGAAAGATGCAAATGCTGCAGCACCTGGTTTTCAGAGATCCAGGAGCAGTGCCAGTAGGACATGTCGTGCCACTTGACAAAAAACTCCCTGAGAGGCTTCGGCTGTGGTTTCTTGCTCGTGGACGGCTGCGGTGGGGGCGCCGTCGACGTCGATGGCACTGCGGCCACCTGGCCATTGCTGCTGCTCAAGCTATCCTCGGCCTTGCCGCCTTCCTCCTTCTTGGCGTCGCCGCTTGCGTCTCCTTTCACCTCGGCCCAGCGCCAGAACAGGATTCTTTGAACCTTTCCCTTGAGCGGCTCCACCTGGTGTCGGCAGCGCAAGCACCAGAAGAAGAGCGTTGGAATGAAAGAAGAGCATGCAGGGCATGGAAGATGGCGGAATGGAAAAGAAAAAAAGAAAGACAAATAGAGAAAGACAGTTATTTCACTTCGTTTCTCCGACATTATTCTTTTCTTTCACTTTACGAATCCTGCTATGCACACTGTTTCACATTATTAGTAAAGTTGCACCCGTTTATAAAAGACATGCACTGCGGAGAAGTAGTTCTTGGCCCTTATATGAAGTGTCTCAAATACGCAGGGTTGTATGGTATCATTTTCTGATCAAGCTCTGTTTTAATGTCAACACACTGGTGTCTCTTATACTAACCTAGTGGTCTGTTACATCAGTGACTCTTAGAGAAGGATTCCGTTGTACCCACAGAAAGAACTGGCACTACAGTCGAACTCCACTACATCGAACGCCGCTTCAACGAAACTTCCGCTACAACGAAAAATTCACTATTCCCCGTCAGCAGTCTATAGGAGTCAATGCATAAATATTGTCGCCACAACGAACACTTTTTCTTCTATCGTCTCGCTTCAACGAAATTTTACGATGCAATTCCAGGCTCATATACTTATTGCTATGCCGTAAATCTAATCATTAACATTTCAATGCATTTTCAGAGCCTGAAAATGTGTCAACGAAGCATAAAATACACGTGTTGGCACCACCAGAAACCACCGCTATACTGCCGCTGTCTAACAAGCATGGGCGCCGCCATTGCTAGATATCGATGGCAATGAGACTGCCCTGCTTTTGCCACTGGCTTATTTTGAGCCGCAGACGATCCGAAGCTGAAGCTCAGTCCATAGTTTCTTTCACGCAGCTGCTGGGTGCAACTGCGGAACGATGCCTTTTCAGATTCCGATGCTTATCATAATGTTTGTGCTTGGCCAGTGTGGTAACTAATCAGAGCAGCTGTTCGTCTGCATTATCAACAAAATCAGCTTGCCACTACTGAATGATAAAAACGGCATAGAATAATGCAAAAGTCGCCGCTCCACAATACCCTGCCTCCATCTCGGCCGAATACTTTTGACGGCATACTGTCGAATACTTTTGACGGCAGACAGCTGCTGGTGTTAACGTGTTAATGCAACTGTGTGGCTCGTTCACGAAGGCGGTTTTAGGCGTGTTTTAGCGTGCTTTTCACCGTAGTCACGCTATGCATGGGTGAGAATGACGACGTGACGCTGCAGAGAAAAAATAGGAAGCAGTGAACATTTTTAAATTTTGAGAATAAACGTTCCTTTGTTTTGCTAGCCGAGATCAACTATATTTTTTTCGATTTCACTACAACGAAATTATCGCTACAACGAAATTTTTTCCGCACCCCGTCAGTTTCATTGTAGCAAGGTTCGACTGTAGTGTTTATGGGAGCTGCAACACATGGAATTTCGTGCAGCATTGGAATGACGGGTAGTACATGAATTTCTGCAAGCTTCGTTCTGTCGGCTCCACGTGGCAGCCACTTTGTCGCAAGAAAAATTTTGGCAAAAGCTCAGCTGTCTCAATTTATCATTTTGGCCCTTTTAGGCTGCACAATTCTAACAAGTTTGTGAGGTTTGTCACAAATCATTCTTTTAACACGATAGCATTAATGCAGCTCGTTTCACAGAAATGTCGGTGTCGGAGTCTGTGGTTGCGAGCGAAAAAGCAGTGTTGGCCGCGAGAGAAAATCCGGGGTAAATGCTAACAAAAATAGGAACCAAAGGGCGTGTGCAGTTTTTTTTTTTTTTCGGCACAGTTTAAGTCTTCCCTGAGAAGCGAAGGCAGGCTAGAAATTGGACAGGTAATAGTACGTGTGTGCGCGTGGATATCACTACGACATCAAGGGTGAAGCTCAGGGGTGCCCCAACTTTCTTCTGAAACGAACGCCAATGCACAGGAATAAAAGAAAGCCACAATTGCATTCCAAGCCAAAAGAACGAAGCTTCAGACAAATTCGTGCACTACTCATCCTTCCCATAGTGGCTGAACAATACAGAGAGTTATAGTTCTCTTAGTAATTACTGCAGGAAACTCTATGCTGTCGTGTACGGTGCTCGGCAATGAAATGTGATAATCAACCCTCGCAGCATACTATAATTTTAGGAGCAGCTGGTGGGCGGCAGATTATTGTTGAGGAACAAAATACAGCCATATTACGAGGCAAAGGCCCTTGCTTTAAGTCGTACATCCCAGTGCGTCCAGTGCGCGAGAGCTCACCGGTGGAACAAAATGTGCAGGTCGCCACAAGGGTGGTGTCAGTGCCACATTTCAACTGCCGAGCAATGTACAGCCCCCAAATCTTTGAAACTATCGTTCACGAGCGGCAATCTTTTCTGTGTGTCTTCGCCATACGACTGTTCCAAAAAGGGGGTGATCGCAAGTGCATGCCCGCATACCACATGCCCACAAACAATTTTTTAGAACTTTGTTTCCGTCATGTGGCGCCGACACAGAAAAGTCACCGCTGCGCACGATGGTTACAAGATTCGGGCAACTGTACGAATATACACAACAAGGACATATGTACAATAGACAATATTATAGAAAAATGTAGCATTTGCTTGAAATCGCACTTAAATGTTTTAATTGAGGAGAGATCCTGATTTGGAAGCGTAATTCTTTTTTTAGTGCATTTCTATAAAACTGTCACAGTTTATGCTTATTCGTGTGCCTATTTCAAATATTCGGTTACCCTTCTGGTAGAACATGCTGTTCTTAAAGTACTATCAATTGTTGCATGTTCCTTCTAAGGGAAGGATATTGCTTCTGAACTGTGAGAGTTACAAAGCAAATAAGCACATCACAATAATCTTGAATGAAAAGTGCATCCAGTAAACAACAATGAATACTAAGGCATGCTGAACTCTGGTGATCGAAATCTTAGGTGAACAATGACTCACAAATCACAACTATTGTTCGAATGAGATCCATTCTTATTTCACTGCACTTAGTGCTCATTCAAAACCATTGAGATATCTTGGTTTGCTTTGAAATTCTAGCAGTTTAAAAGAAAATCTTGCTCTAAACAATGCAGGTGGCATTTCATATTTTAAATGCTATCTATTGCATTAGAAAATTGCATGGGTATTTGTATTTGCAAGTAAAGATACACGGGTTGTGAAAGTCTTAGAAAAACCTGCTCAGGAACAAAAAAAAAATTTTTTTTTCGAAAGATGGACCCACATGTCGCAGTTTCTGGCACGACTGAAGATTGCACATCATTCTGAAGCACACCACTGCGAAATCCTTCCACCGTGTATGTGTGTACATTTCTGTGTGTCTGTGTGCATGTTTCTTTTTATGCTAGAACCTTTACATTGTCCTGCCCTCTACACATCAAGGCACAACTTTTTCTCGGCGGAGCCAGAGCGCACATTTCACAAAAACGTGTTCGTAGGCAAGCAGTGGCCACTCAGCATCAAAAAGTCTATGGTCACAGTTTCACACACAATATTGTTGCTTAAAATGAAACTTTGTAAGCACACTTTAGTCTCGTTACACAGAAATTATTTTTTTGCAGTGCTCTGGCTTTTTAAGATTATATATTTTTTTTCTTGCAGAAATGCAGACAATTCATGCTGTTGGGAATTATGCTGTCTGGCAATCCAGATAATGCAGCGCTAAAGCGCCCCTGCATTTTTCTCGCACAAGTACTCTCGCATCAGTGCCCATGCAGATGTAAACCGCGTAATGTTTTTCACGCGTGAAAAGCGCACCATGCGGTTGGTTCCATCTTCAAAGCAGGGTCTCCTGTTAAGCTTGTGCCGCAAGCTTACAGAGCCACAACATAAAATTTTTTCCAGATACTTTCTTGAACTTTCAATTTGTCTTTCTCCCATGACTCATGATCAAGAACTTCACAAATGATTAACACAATAGAACTTTCAACTCATATTATGTTCACTATTACCAATTTTGTCAGTTCAACAGAGGTAGCATTCAAAGCCCAAAAAAGTGTTGCTATTTTGAGACTACACTGTAACACGAGTTTTGATGGCTTTGATATTCTTCAAACAGCTACCACCATCTACCTTACACACCTTTCTTCCCTGTATTACTGCATGCGCGTTGCACCAGACAATCATTGACATGTTCATTATCGCAGCGGTTTTGTCAAAACAGTAGCAAGCACAGAGTTTGAAGAAAGAAAAACAGATCATAATTCATATTTACAAACAATATATAAGGCCGCAGTTATGTCTATTTACACAGGTACCATAGGCAGGAAATTTAAAATATACTAGTAGTAGCTTCGTTATTTTTGACAATGGGTGCAAACTACCAGGACGCTCCTACCAAAAGTAACATCCTAAAGTCAGCTCTGTCTGCTCCATCCGTGCAAATTATCTTCCTCCTTTCTACATGAAAAATGACAACAACAGAGTTCATGAGCAGCTCAAACTGTGGTTCACATACATTCTCGTCTGGCTTTTTTTCGCCCAATTGCCCACACTTCACTCTGCTGGCCATCTATCCTTTTGTCGCTGCATACCTGATGCGCTTCCATAACTTGTAAAACCAAAGATTAAAACTAAGTCATTTCCGTCGCATAATACACACACAACACAAGAACAACACTCTACTGTTGGCTGGCCACTCTATGTGCAAGCTTCAATACCCATCAATAAAATCTAGGTGAAATATCCCAATTCTCGGCTGCCATGTGTGCCCAATACAAAACCTGTATTGTCTCAATGACATTACATATATCTCCCAAGTATACTAGAAAAAAAAAAAAGAGAAGAAATAAAGCCCTTGAAATTGATACCAATACGTGTGAAACAGCATTTCACATTTTTGAAAGCTAGCAAAAAAAAAGAAAAAGAAAAAAGTTACCGTCAAGGCATACGGCAAGGAGATACTCTCACTTCTAGCTTTAACGCTGAAAGCAACCTTCGAGAGCACGACACTTCAATTTCAGTAGGTCGTTTCTAGCATGCTGGCCTGTTCATCTCTCTCATTTCACAACCTCTACGTTCCCAGAAGA